CTACTATGCAAGGCCCAATTTGCCTAATAAGCCAAGTTTTCATGAATTATTTGTTTTTCGACTATCTAACCTACCTAACCTAACCTAACCTAACTTTTTCGGCTACCTAACCTAACCTATAAAGATAGGTTAGGTTAGGTTAGGTAGGGTTGGTTAGGTTCGGTCATATATCTGTTAATTTTAACTCCAATAAAAAAAATGACCTCATACATAATGAAATGGGTAGTTTTATCATTTCATAAGAAAAAAATTAGAGAAAACATATTAATTCAGGAAAACTTGGCTTAATAGGCAAATCGGGCCTTGCATAGTAGGCTGAGAAGTGCGTTCTGGCTACTAGGTACGACATATATATATATATATATATATATATATATATATATATATATATATATATATATATATATATATAATCTATCCGAGTGCCGGCGGTGGGGTGGTTCAAATAGCCTCGGCTATCACCTCATTTTGTCCGGTCGTGATGGTCAAGTGGATTAAGGCGTCTTGTACATACCAGTTGCGTTGCTCCTGGGAGTATGGGTTCGAGTCACTTCTGGGGTGTGAGTTTTCAGTTGCATATTGTCCTGGGGACCATTCAGGCTTGTTCGCATTTGTGTTCCTCACGTGTGCCCCAAAGAATGAGGTGATTTGGTAAAATGCTATGCCCAAGATTACTATCCGAGTGCCGGCGGTGGGGTGGTTCAAATAGCCTCGGCTATCACCTCATTTTGTCCGGTCGTGATGGTCAAGTGGATTAAGGCGTCTTGTACATACCAGTTGCGTTGCTCCTGGGAGTATGGGTTCGAGTCACTTCTGGGGTGTGAGTTTTCAGTTGCATATTGTCCTGGGGACCATTCAGGCTTGTTCGCATATATATATATATATATATATATATATATATATATATATATATATATATATATATATATATATTATTAAATATGACCGAAAAAGTAAGATTAATAATTCTAACACGAATTTTCTCAATCTTTCGTACATTACGCTTCACTGTTGGAGGTAAATCAAAAGTCACTTCTCCAAAATTCATTTTTATTTCTCGTCTGACGCGACACGGGCGCGTTTCGTAAAACTTATTACATTTTCAGACTTCACAAATACACAACTGATTAGAACTTGCGTTTCTCTGATTATATATCTACATTTGAGTGAGGTGGGAAGGGTGATGTGGCATTAACACAAGACAGAACAATAGGGGATATTAATAGGGTATTAAAAGTATCAACACAAGACAGAACAGAAACAATGGGTATTGAATAGAAGTGTTTGTAGAAAGCCTATTGGTCAATATTTCTTGATGCTTCTATATTGGAGCGGAGTCTTGAGGTGGGTAGAATATAGTTGTGCAATAATTGGCTGTTGATTGCTGGTGTTGACTTCTTGATGTGTAGTGCCTCGCAAACGTCAAGCCGCCTGCTATCGCTGTATCTATCGATGATTTCTGTGTTGTTTACTAGGATTTCTCTGGCGATGGTTTGGTTATGGGAAGAGATTATATGTTCCTTAATAGAGCCCTGTTGCTTATGCATCGTTAAACGCCTAGAAAGAGATGTTGTTGTCTTGCCTATATACTGGGTTTTTTGGAGCTTACAGTCCCCAAGTGGGCATTTGAAGGCATAGACGACGTTAGTCTCTTTTAAAGCGTTCTGTTTTGTGTCTGGAGAGTTTCTCATGAGTAGGCTGGCCGTTTTTCTGGTTTTATAGTAAATTTACTATAAAACCAGAAAAACGGCCAGCCTACTCATGAGAAACTCTCCAGACACAAAACAGAACGCTTTAAAAGAGACTAACGTCGTCTATGCCTTCAAATGCCCACTTGGGGACTGTAAGCTCCAAAAAACCCAGTATATAGGCAAGACAACAACATCTCTTTCTAGGCGTTTAACGATGCATAAGCAACAGGGCTCTATTAAGGAACATATAATCTCTTCCCATAACCAAACCATCGCCAGAGAAATCCTAGTAAACAACACAGAAATCATCGATAGATACAGCGATAGCAGGCGGCTTGACGTTTGCGAGGCACTACACATCAAGAAGTCAACACCAGCAATCAACAGCCAATTATTGCACAACTATATTCTACCCACCTCAAGACTCCGCTCCAATATAGAAGCATCAAGAAATATGGACCAATAGGCTTTCTACAAACACTTCTATTCAATACCCATTGTTTCTGTTCTGTCTTGTGTTGATACTTTTAATACCCTATTAATATCCCCTATTGTTCTGTCTTGTGTTAATGCCACATCACCCTTCCCACCTCACTCAAATGTAGATATATAATCAGAGAAACGCAAGTTCTAATCAGTTGTGTATTTGTGAAGTCTTTGAAAATGTAATACGTTTTACGAAACGCGCCCGTGTCGCGTCAGACGAGAAATAAAAATGAATTTTGGAGAAGTGTTTTTTGATTTACCTCCAACAGTGAAGCGTAATGTACGAAAGATTGAGAAAATTCGTGTTAGAATTATTAATCTTACTTTTTCGGTCATATTTAATAATATATGTCTACAGGAAAGATTGCTACCAAAATATACCAATATATATATATATATATATATATATATATATATATATATATATATATATATATATATATATATATATATATATATATATATATATATATATATATATATATATATATATATATATATATATATATACAGTATATGTATATATATTTTATTTATTTATATAGTGTATACTAAATGCAAGTTTTCTCTAATACACATGCATGTAATTGAACACAACAGCATTGTTACTATAGTTAATTTTCTTAAGGATATTTTCACTTCTACATAAATACCTTCTACCATCTGGAGGGTGAAGAAACACCAAATCACGTAAATCTTTCAATTTTATTGTTTGACGCTTCATCAGCAATGTGACATCTTAATTAAACGAAAATTCCGACAGCCAATTAGTGCACAATTATATTCTACCCACTTCAAGACTCCGCAACAATATAGAAGCATCAAGAAATATGGGCCAATAGGCCCTTTGCAGTTACTTCCATTCTTCCCTCTAATTTACCCAATTTATACCCATTGTTTCGTGTTCTGTCTTGTGTTGAAAGTATTGTTCACCTCATCCAAAACTGTTGTAACATATCACCTCACCCAAATGCAGGTATATAAGATGAAAGCTGTTTAAATGATAGCATAGTAGAACTCTGTTTAGTGTTTGCAGGTTATAGTTGTGTGTGTGTAAACTAAAGTCTTTGAAAATGTAATAAGTTATTACGAAACTCTTTCAAGTGTCGCGTCAGACTAGAAATAAAAATTAATTTTGGAGAATTGATTTTTCAATTTCCATTGACAGTGAAAAGAAACATAAGAAATATTGAGAAAATTCGTGTTAGAATTATTAATCTTACTTTTCGGTCATATATAATAATAATAATAATAATAATTATATATATATATATATATATATATATATATATATATATATATATATATATATATAATAGAGCTTTGCACATCTTCGAGTTTATATCTACATTTGGGTGAGGTGGATGAGGTGAAAACAAACTTTCAACAATGGGTATTAAATGGGTGTTAAATTCAAACACAAGACAGAACACGAAACAATGGGTATTGAATGGAAGTAATTGTAGAAAGCCTATTGGTCCATATTTCTTGATGCTTCTATATTGGAGCGGAGTCTTGAAGTGGGTAGAATATAGTTGTGCATTAATTGGCTGTTGATTGCTGGTGTTGACTTCTTGATGTGTAGTGCCTCGCAGACGTCAAGCCGCCTGCTATCGCTGTATCTATCGATGATTTCTGTGTTGTTTGCTAAGATTTCTCTGGTGATGGTTTGTTTGTGGGAAGAGATTATATGTTCCTTAATGTATATATTATTATTATATGTTCCGTATATATATATATATATATATATATATATATATATATATATATATATATATATATATATATATATATATATATATATATATATAATAGGGAAGGGTAGAATTCTGGGTAGAAGTGGGTAGAATTGTACCCACTTCAAAACTCCGCACCAATAGAGAAGCATCAAGAAATATGGGCCAATAGGCCCTTTGCAGTTACTTCCATTCTTCCCTTTAACTTACAAAATATTATACCCATTGTTTCGTGTTCTGTCTTGTGTTGAAAGTTTGTTTTCACCTCATCCAAAACTGTTGTAACATATCACCTCACCCAAATGCAGGTATAAAATCAAAGCTGTTTAAACTCTGTTTAGTGTTTGCAAGTTATAGTTGTGTGTGTGTAAACTAAAGTCTTTGAAAATGTAATAAGTTATTACGAAATGCGTTTAAGTGTCGTGTCAGACTAGAAATAAAAATGAATTTTGGAGAATTGATTTTTCAATTACCATCAACAGAGAAAAGAAATATAAGAAATAGAGAAAATTCGTGTTAGAATTATTAATCATACTTTTTTGGTCATATTTATAATATATGTCTACAGGAAAGACTGCTACCAATATATATATATATATATATATATATATATATATATATATATATATATATATATATATATATATATAATGTATGTAATGAGAGAGGCTGCAAGAACGCGCAATCCATAGATCACTAAGAACTAAATTAGTTCCTGAAAGTCTATGGTGTGTTGTTTCAGAGTGTGAGAGTGACAGTTATGGACCCCAGTGTGGTGACTGTGTACCTTAAGGTCTATGGTGTGTTGTTAGTGTGTGAGTGACCGTTATGGACCTGAGTGTGGTGACTGTACCTTAAGGTCTATGGTGTGTTCTTACAGTGTGTGAGTGACCGTTATGGACCCCAGTGTGGTGACTGTACCTTAAGGTGTATGGTGTGTTGTTAGTGTGTGAGTGACCGTTATGGACCTCAGTGTGGTGAGTTGTGTACCTTAAGGTCTATGGTGTGTTGTTACAGTGTGTGAGAGTGACCGTTATGGACCACAGTGTGGTGACTGTACCTTAAAGTCTATGGTGTGTTGTTACAGAGTGTGAGAGTGACCGTTATGGACCTCAGTGCCAGTCTTGGTGCCCTGACTGTCAAAATGGTGGCATATGTCATGCTGTGACTGGCACTTGTGTCTGTGCTCCAGGCTACAGTGGTCCCACCTGCCAACATGGTAAGCAACTTAACACGTTTTACAGTTCATATCTTACATAAACAGTTGCTATTACATCATTCTCTAAATTACCATTTATCCATACACTAACCAAAAGCCGGTATGTGTTCATTCTTCACTTAATGTAATGTTATATATATATATACTGATATATAAACCGCAGTATTCGGTGTATTTGTATATTGTTATGTTTTGACAGCGTGTCCCCGAGGCAGCTTCGGGAGCTCGTGTCAGTTTACATGCCAGAAGACCACTCTTGGCTTCAGTCCAGCAACTGAGGGTCAGTGTGAGAGCTTGACCATATGTCTGCCTGAACCCTATGGCTGCTCCTGTGCTCCCGGTTACACCGGCCCCTTCTGTGACCAAGGTAATATTCCTCTCTTAAAGTCTCCCTAGTGTTTATAATGAGTTGGTTATTTAAAACACACAAACTTTATTGGTAGCGGAACACACTTACCAAGACTGTTGGGTAGATATTTAAATGTTATTTTATATTGTAAAATACAGTCTAATGTGGGTGCGAGTGTGTGTAGTAAAGAAGAAAATACTAAGATTTGTCGGCAGGAATCGAAGCTCTTAACTCATAGCTTCCTGTTAATAACTATTAGTTAACTAATTGACATCGCGAGGTTTCTCGTATATACATTACCCGGCTGCGCCTGTTTCTCTACAGCTTGTCTGCCCCCTCTTTCCCAATCTCCCTCTCTCCCCTCACTCATATTTTTTCCTTTCCCCCCTCTCCCCTTCCCTTTTCCCCCCTCTCCCCTTCCCCCTTCCCCCTTCCCTCCTCTCCCCTTCCCCCTTCTCCCCTTTCCCACCCAAACATTTCCCTCTCCTTCCCTCTCTCCCAATCTCTCCTCCTTTCTCATATCTCCCCCAACAACCTGTGTGACTACTGCCACCACAACGACTGTGACTACTGCCACCACAACCACTGTGACTACTGCCACCACAACCACTGTGACTACTGCCACCACAACCACTGTGACTACTGCCACCACAACCTGTGTGACTACTGCCACCACAACCTGTGTGACTACTGCCACCACAACCTGTGTGACTACTGCCACCACAACCTGTGTGACTACTGCCACCACAACCTGTGTGACTACTGCCACCACAACCTGTGTGACTACTGCCACCACAACCACTGTGACTACTGCCACCACAACCTGTGTGACTACTGCCACCACAACCTGTGTGACTACTGCCACCACAACCTGTGTGACTACTGCCACCACAACCTGTGTGACTACTGCCACCACAACCTGTGTGACTACTGCCACCACAACCTGTGTGACTACTGCCACCACAACCACTGTGACTACTGCCACCACAACCTGTGTGACTACTGCCACCACAACCTGTGTGACTACTGCCACCACAACCACTGTGACTACTGCCACCACAACCTGTGTGACTACTGCCACCACAACCAGACTACTGCCACCACAACCACTGTGACTACTGCCACCACAACCACTGTGACTACTGCCACCACAACCTGTGTGACTACTGCCACCACAACCTGTGTGACTACTGCCACCACACCTGTGTGACTACTGCCACCACAACCACTGTGACTACTGCCACCACAACCTGTGTGACTACTGCCACCACAACCTGTGTGACTACTGCCACCACAACCTGTGTGACTACTGCCACCACAACCACTGTGACTACTGCCACCACAACCTGTGTGACTACTGCCACCACAACCACTGTGACTACTGCCACCACAACCTGTGTGACTACTGCCACCACAACCTGCGTGTGACTAATGCCACTACAACCACTGTGACTACTGCCACCACAACCACTGTGACTACTGCCACCACAACCTGTGTGACTACTGCCACCACAACCACTGTGACTACTGCCACCACAACCACTGTGACTACTGCCACCACAACCTGTGTGACTACTGCCACCACTACCACTGTGACTACTGCCACCACAACCTGTGTGACTACTGCCACCACAACCTGTGTGACTACTGCCACCACAACCAGTGTGACTACTGCCACCACAACCTGTGTGACTACTGCCACCACAACCTGTGTGACTACTGCCACCACAACCACTGTGACTACTGCCACCACAACCTGTGTGACTACTGCCACCACAACCACTGTGACTACTGCCACCACAACCTGTGTGACTACTGCCACCACAACCACTGTGACTACTGCCACCACAACCTGTGTGACTACTGCCACCACAACCACTGTGACTACTGCCACCACAACCTGTGTGACTACTGCCACCACAACCACTGTGACTACTGCCACCACAACCTGTGTGACTACTGCCACCACAACCTGTGTGACTACTGCCACCACAACCTGTGTGACTACTGTGTGACTGTGTGACTACTGCCACCACAACCACTGTGACTACTGCCACCACAACCTGTGTGACTACTGCCACCACAACCACTGTGACTACTGCCACCACAACCTGTGTGACTACTGCCACCACAACCTGTGTGACTACTGCCACCACAACCTGTGTGACTACTGCCACCACAACCTGTGTGACTACTGCCACCACAACCTGTGTGACTACTGCCACCACAACCTGTGTGACTACTGCCACCACAACCACTGTGACTACTGCCACCACAACCTGTGTGACTACTGCCACCACAACCACTGTGACTACTGCCACCACAACCTGTGTGACTACTGCCACCACAACCACTGTGACTACTGCCACCACAACCTGTGTGACTACTGCCACCACAACCTGTGTGACTACTGCCACCACAACCTGTGTGACTACTGCCACCACAACCTGTGTGACTACTGCCACCACAACCACTGTGACTACTGCCACCACAACCTGTGTGACTACTGCCACCACAACCACAACCTGTGTGACTACTGCCACCACAACCTGTGTGACTACTGCCACCACAACCACTGTGTGACTACTGCCACCACAACCACTGTGACTACTGCCACCACAACCCACTGTGACTACTGCCACCACAACCACTGTGACTACTGCCACCACAACCACTGTGACTACTGCCACCACAACCACTGTGTGACTACTGCCACCACAACCCACTGTGACTACTGCCACCACAACCACTGTGACTACTGCCACCACTGTGACTACTGCCACCACAACTGTGACTACTGCCACCACAACCACTGTGACTACTGCCACCACAACCTCTGTGACTACTGCCACCACAACCACTGTGACTACTGCCACCACAACCTGTGTGACTACTGCCACCACAACCTGTGTGACTACTGCCACCACAACCACTGTGACTACTGCCACCACAACCACTGTGACTACTGCCACCACAACCTGTGTGACTACTGCCACCACAACCACTGTGACTACTGCCACCACAACCTGTGTGACTACTGCCACCACAACCTGTGTGACTACTGCCACCACAACCTGTGTGACTACTGCCACCACAACCACTGTGACTAATACCACCACAACCTGTGTGACTACTGCCACCACAACCTGTGTGACTACTGCCACCACAACCTTTGTGACTACTGCCACCACAATCTGTGTGACTACTGCCACCACAACCACTGTGACTACTGCCACCACAACCTGTGTGACTAATGCCACCACAACCTGCGTGTGACTAATGCCACCACAACCTGTGTGACTACTGCCACCACAACCACTGTGACTACTGCCACCACAACCACTGTGACTACTGCCACCACAACCACTGTGACTACTGCCACCACAACCTGTGTGACTACTGCCACCACAACCTGTGTGACTACTGTGAGGACAACTACTGTGACGTGTTGATAACCTTGTCTCCACAGTGTTGTTGATAATGTTAGTGTTGTGTGTGGGTCCACAGAGTGTCCAGCAGGAAAGTACGGTGCTGGCTGCTCCCACGACTGTGACTACTGTGAGAACAACCACTGTGACTCTGTCAGTGGATCCTGCACTCGTGGCTGCAAAAATGAAGCACATTGTACCGGTATGGTTTTTATTATTTTTATTTATTTATGAGATTGTGAAATTCACAGCCTTACTCCTTTTCCCACAAAAGTTGACATTTTACTGACAAGTATTCTCAGCTAATTACATCTTAAATAGCCTTGAAATACTGTACATCTGAATTTTTATAATATACTGTAATGTATTTTGCCTTGTGTTGTGAAGTGTTTAGTGTGTGTATTAGAACTGCCTCCCCGACAGGTGGGATGCCTCTGGACCTGCCTCGCCTGCGGACTCCTCCGTCTCTCACTGACGTAACAAACACCTCAGTTGTTGTGAACTTCTCCACCTGGACGAGGGAGGATGATGATGGGTCGGAGGCGGTTGGTATTGTGAGTTACCTGCTTCAGTTGCGGAGGGAAGATGACGACACTTGGACCACGCTGAAGACTGTGTCAAACAGCTCTGTGTCAGGCCAGACTAAAAGTATATTGAACTGTGAGTATGGGTAATACTCTTTGACAACGCTGAAGTCTGTGCCACACAACTGTGTCAGGCCAGGCTCTAGGTATAGTGAACTATGTAATTGCCCACAAGTATGTAGTATCAAGACTAGTACCGTGTTCACTGGTATATTTGATAAATATTTTCCAGCGTTGCACTGTATCATCCCTACACTTCCTCCTCCAGCCTGAGATTATTACAACGATAATTCCGGCGTCTTATTGAGAAACATGGAACGTTGCCACAGTTCTGGCTTTTTTTTCAGGGATATTCCTGCGCGGGCCCTAAGCCTCTGGCTGGCCCACTAAGAATTGCTTGTTTCTGTTTTACTTGGGCGGGGTATGAGTATTTATGACTCGTATGGTCGCTTCAGTAAGATTTTGCCATATGTGTTTAACAACTTCTTCTGCTCTGTTGAATCTAAGTTGAAATCTTAATGGGTTTGTAACTGTGCACTGTGTTAGATAATGTTCCAGTGGTCTGTCGGGCATTTCTCCACAGTGCTGACATTTCCTCTCATCTTCCGGAACCTGTAAGTCTATTTCCCATTCCCATGCACATGGGTATCCAAGCCTGATGCGATGTAAGTGTACTTCTGTTGTTCTACCTGGCGGGTTTGATGAAGAACACCTCATTAACGTTAACATTTGTGACCATTTTTTTTATATTCCTTCAAACACTTGTACAAAGTTTATAAATAATGCTAAATAAATTATGGAGAATACGTCACAATGAGAAAACACTGTTATGCGTTAGAAGATTATTCATAACATTATGCTTCACTATACATATATTAACTCTGAATTCTGTAGTGTTGTAGGAGCAGTATTGGAAGATGGTGTACTAGCAGTTATGAAATGTTATGGACATGTTTTAGTAAAAAAGTTGGTAACCTGGTTATTCAGGTATCCAGTAGAGGGTGAGAGTACTGGTGATAGTCCAGGTTACTAGTGTGGGGTGAGAGTACTGGTGATAGTCCAGGTTACTAGTGTGGGGTGAGAGTACTGGTGGTAGTCCAGGTTACTAGTGTGGGGTGAGAGTACTGGTGATAGTCCAGGTTACTAGTGTGGGGTGAGAGTACTGGTGATTGTCCATGTTACTAGTGTGGGGTGAGAGTACTGGTGATAGTCCAGGTTACTAGTGTGGGGTGAGAGTACTGGTGATAGTCCAGGTTACTAGTGTGGGGTGAGAGTACTGGTGATAGTCCAGGTTACTAGTGTGGGGTGAGAGTACTGGTGGTAGTCCAGGTTACTAGTGTGGGGTGAGAGTACTGGTGATAGTCCAGGTTACTAGTGTGGGGTGAGAGTACTGGTGATAGTCCAGGTTACTAGTGTGGGGTGAGAGTACTGGTGATAGTCCAGGTTACTAGTGTGGGGTGAGAGTACTGGTGATAGTCCAGGTTACTAGTGTGGGGTGAGAGTACTGGTGGTAGTCCAGGTTACTAGTGTGGGGTGAGAGTACTGGTGATAGTCCAGGTTACTAGTGTGGGGTGAGAGTACTGGTGATAGTCCAGGTTACTAGTGTGGGGTGAGAGTACTGGTGGTAGTCCAGGTTACTAGTGTGGGGTGAGAGTACTGGTGATAGTCCAGGTTACTAGTGTGGGGTGAGAGTACTGGTGATAGTCCAGGTTACTAGTGTGGGGTGAGAGTACTGGTGATAGTCCAGGTTACTAGTGTGGGGTGAGAGTACTGGTGGTAGTCCAGGTTACTAGTGTGGGGTGAGAGTACTGGTGATAGTCCAGGTTACTAGTGTGGGGTGAGGGTACTGGTGATAGTCCAGGTTACTAGTGTGGGGTGAGGGTACTGGTGATAGTCCAGGTTACTAGTGTGGGGTGAGGGTACTGGTGATAGTCCAGGTTACTAGTGTGGGGTGAGAGTACTGGTGATAGTCCAGGTTACTAGTGTGGGGTGAGAGTACTGGTGATACCAGTACTGGTGGTAGTCTAGGTTACCAGTACTGGTGGTAGTCCAGGTTACCTGGTGGTAGTCCATGTTACCAGTACTGGTGGTAGTCCAGGTTACCAGTACTGGTGGTAGTCCAGGTTACCAGTACTGGTGGTAGTCCAGGTTACCAGTACTGGTGGTAGTCCAGGTTACCAGTACTGGTGGTAGTCCAGGTTACCAGTACTGGTGGTAGTCCAGGTTACCAGTACTGGTGGTAGTCCAGGTTACCAGTACTGGTGGTAGTCCAGGTTACCAGTACTGGTGGTAGTCCAGGTTACCAGTACTGAGAGAATACTGGTGGTAGTGCAGGTTACCAGTACTGGTGGTAGTGCAGGTACCAGTACTGGTGGTAGTGCAGGTTACCAGTACAGGTGGTAGTCCAGGTTACCAGTACTGGAGGTACAGGTTACCAACTGGTGGTAGTCCAGGTACCAGTACTGGTGGTACCAGTTACCAGTACAGGGTGAGGGTACAGGTGGTGCTACAGATGGTTCAACAATCACTAGGTAACACTTGTAACAATGTTCTCTCCACAGTGACGGTAGAACACCTGAGTCCAGGTTACCAGTATACGCTGAGGGTGTTGGTCAATACTTCACGCGGCGCTGCAGACGGCTCAACCAACAAGAGGGTTCACCATGTCACATTTGTTACTCAGTGTTCTGGTAAGGCTTTTAGTATTGTCTTATATCACATTATTCTAATAATAGTGACGATGGAATTCATCCATTTTACACTTGAAACAATACTGAGAATAATTTGGGGAGATATTCATATAGAATATAGGATTATATCTCGAACATTATATGACATTTGTGATGGACGTTTATCCTACAGCTCCAAGACTTGATGATCTTCGCGTATTAAACGTCACCAACCAGTCTGCTGTTGTCACCTGGGTAAGTTACGACTTGTCGAGCAGTACTTTAAGACATGGGGATGTTATGGGTCTGCCAGAGTGTGAGAGTAATGTGTTGTGGACTGTTACAGTGGGAGGGTAATGTGTTGTGGACTGTTACAGTGGGAGGGTAATGTGTTGTGGACTGTTACAGTGGGAGGGTAATGTGTTGTGGACTGTTACAGTGGGAGGGTAATGTGTTTTGGACTGTTACAGAGGGAGGGTAATGTGTTGTGGACTGTTACAGTGGGAGGGTAATGTGTTTTGGACTGTTACAGAGGGAGGGTAATGTGTTGTGGACTGTTACAGTGGGAGGGTAATAGTAATGTGTTGTAGACTGTTACAGTGGGAGGGTAATGTGTTTTGGACTGTTACAGAGGGAGGGTAATGTGTTGTGGACTGTTACAGTGGGAGGGTAATAGTAATGTGTTGTAGACTGTTACATAGGGAGAGTAATGTGTTGTGGACTGTTACAGTGGGAGGGTAATGTGTTGTGTACTGTTACAGTGGGAGGGTAATAGTAATGTGTTGTAGACTGTTACAGTGGGAGGGTAATGTGTTGTGGACTGTTACAGTGGGAGGGTAATGTGTTGTGGACTGTTACAGTGGGAGAGTAATGTTGTGGACTGTTACAGTGGGAGGGTAATGTGTTGTGGACTGTTACAGTGGGAAGGTGATGTGTTGTGGACTGTTACAGTGGGAGGGTAATGTTGTGGACTGTTACAGTGGGAGGGTAATGTGTTGTGGACTGTTACAGTGGGAGGGTAATGTGTTGTGGACTGTTACAGTGGGAGGGTAATGTGTTGTGGACTGTTACAGTGGGAGGGTAATGTGTTGTGGACTGTTACAGTGGGAGGGTAATGTGTTGTGGACTGTTACAGTGGGAGGGTAATGTGTTGTGGACTGTTACAGTGGGAGGGTAATGTGTTGTGGACTGTTACAGAGGGAGGGTAATGTGTTGTGGACTGTTACAGTGGGAAGGTAATAGTAATGTGTTGTGGACTGTTACAGTGGGAGGGTAATGTGTTGTGGACTGTTACAGTGGGAGAGTAATGTTGTGGACTGTTACAGTGGGAGGGTAATGTGTTGTGGACTGTTACAGAGGGAGGGTAATGTGTTGTGGACTGTTACAGTGGGAGGGTAATAGTTGTGTTGTGGACTGTTACAGTGGGAGGGTAATAGTTATGTGTTGTGGACTGTTACAGTGGGAGGGTAATGTGTTGTGAACTGTTACAGTGGGAGGGTAATGTGTTGTGGACTGTTACAGTGGGAGGGTAATGTGTTGTGGACTGTTACAGTGGGAGGGTAATGTGTTGTGGACTGTTACAGAGGGAGGGTAATGTGTTGTGGACTGTTACAGTGGGAGGGTAATGTGTTATGGACTGTTACAGTGGGAGGGTAATGTGTTGTGGACTGTTACAGTGGGAGGGTAATGTGTTGTGAACTGTTACAGTGGGAGGGTAATGTGTTGTGGACTGTTACAGTGGGAGGGTAATGTGTTGTGGACTGTTACAGTGGGAGGGTAATGTGTTGTGGACTGTTACAGAGGGAGGGTAATGTGTTGTGGACTGTTACAGTGGGAGGGTAATGTGTTATGGACTGTTACAGTGGGAGGGTAATGTGTTGTGGACTGTTACAGTGGGAGGGTAATGTGTTGTGGACTGTTACAGTGGGAGGGTAATGTGTTGTGGACTGTTACAGTGGGAGGGTAATAGTTATGTGTTGTGGACTGTTACAGTGGCAGGGTAATGTGTTGTGGACTGTTACAGTGGCAGGGTAATGTTTTGTGGACTGTTACAGAGGGAGGGTAATAGCAGTGTGTTGCGGACTAATACATGGGGGGGGGGATGGTACAGTAATGAGCTGTGAACTATTACAGACAGACAATGGGAACCATGAGCGGTGTGGGATACAGTATGAGGTGAAGCTGACGTCCACCACCCCCACTACAGAAATACTCAGTCCTCCGACCACAAGACAACCGTCTCACCACCTCAGTGGCTTGGCGCCGGACACAAGATATAAGGTTATCATCACCGCCAGATACAGTGGCACACAAGTGATAACCGCATCATATGGGCCGTTCTCTACACTTCCAAATGGTAATTTTATTGTGGAATTTCTTGAATGATGAATGTTTTAATTTGAGTTTTTCACTCATTTTTGCTGCTCCAGTTGCTACATACTGACGGTAAAGTGAAGAGGGGTAAAGTGATCACACAAACTACTGTAGTCACGTCTTATATTTATTCTCCTTCAATCTTAATTATAGATTTGTATTTATATACTATACCAGTCTTAATGATCCCCTTTAGTGTCTTACAACATCGTTGTAATATCTCAACGGTATGGCTATCACATGTCTCCATGATCAATTCAAATGTCTTACCAACATTGTTTTGATATCTTTGTCATGACTAGGCTCCGGAAAGCCTCAACAATTTTGGGATTATTTTTGGACGCTTTCAGCGGGTCCTCCTGAACTAAATGATTATTTAAATTTAGACGTCAGTAATATATGATATGACATTAAAAATATAGAGAATATATGTATTTTGACATCAATCATGGTACTACAAAATAATAAATATAAAAAATTCTTGTTTTCTGTTCAGCAATCTTCTTTCAAACCTTTGTGAAGTTTAATATTTTTACTTCATCACATTCTATGGATAATATTGCTAGGCTGTGTAGTCTATATAAGAACCTGTTTGACTTTAGGAAAGCTATTATCAATTTCAATTTGCAAATGTAGCTTTCTCCCTGACACCACTGTGGCGGGATTGTCCAAAATTTGCGTTGTCATAAATTTGGTTTAACTCCAAACGCTCTATTTTACAACAAGGAATTTTTTAAATTTTAAAATCATTTCCAAAATATGAAGAACGAATAATTGACTTCAATTTCTATTCGTTGACCGTCGTTTCACCTAAACCTAATAACTTTACAGACATTACAGTTTAGCTGTCCTGAAGGGGCTTGATATGCGTAAAACTTGGTCTGGCTGCCCAGACTACCTGTGAATTTGGAGGAGTCCCAGGTTGTATAACGTATACCATGTCGTGGTTCAGGGGTGAGGTGCGCGGCTGGCAGTTCTTTGATCGCTGACTCCGGTCACCTCATTGATCCAGTTGATTTTCTCATTATTATTATTATTATTATTATTATTATTATTATTAATAGTATTAATATTATTGTCATTATTCAATCTGCAGCACCCACGATGGCCACTGTGAGTGTGGGTGCGGGTAGTGTGGGTTCCCTCACTGTATCCTGGACGCTTCCTCCCGGGTCCAGTCGTGCACATTACTTTAACATAAAGTATAAGGCAAGTGAACATTTTGCTTTTATCTCTCAACTTTTCTCAGAGTTCAACTAAATATAATCATATACGCTATTTCCATTATTAAACATTGGACTAGCTGAGCACTTTGTGTATTTGTTATATATATACTTCTACCTAATGAGTTTAAAACATCCAGAATGTAAGTCTGTGTTGAATTTTCGATCCCTGTTCATGTTTACATATAAGGCAGCAGCAGCAGCATTCACTCTGAGCACACATTATGCACTTACAGTGTGGGGAGTTGCTAGAGTCACACTTGCCACTAACAGCAGGTGTAGAGTGGGGTCGTGACGCTCACTCTGAGGTGCATGTGTGGTGTCAGGAGGATGTGTGGCGCCAATATTGGTGATGATATCACGGACAGGTGCAGAGTCAGCACTTGTAGCGTCGTAAGAACAAACACTGCCCAAATGGTTTGGTCGTTTTTGAAAGTATAGGTAAAATAGAATAATAATGGTCAAGAGAGTCTTTTTAATGATGTTGAGGAAAAGAGGAAGCATAGAGGATATGCAGACACTGTGAGTGTGTGTGTGAGCAGACACTGTGAGTGTGTGAGGCAGACACTGTGAGTGTGAGGCAGACACTGTGAGTGTGTGAGGCAGACACTGTGAGTGTGTGAGGCAGACACTGAGTGTGTGTGTGAGCAGACACTGTGAGTGTGTGAGCAGACACTGTGAGTGAATGTGTGAGCAGACACTGTGAGTGAGTGTGTGTGAGGCAGACACTGAGTGTGTGTGTGTGAGGCAGACACTGTGTGTGTGTGTGAGGAAGACACTGAGTGTGTGTGTTAGCAGACACTGTGTGTGTGTGAGCAGACACTGAGTGTGTGTGTGTGAGGAAGACACTGAGTGTGTGTGGATGTGTGAGGAAGACACTGAGTGTGTGTGTGAGCAGACACTGTGAGTGTGTGAGGCAGACACTGAGTGAATGTGTGAGCAGACACTGTGAGTGAGTGTGTGTGAGGCAGACACTGAGTGTGTGTGTGTGAGGCAGACACTGTGTGTGTGTGTGAGGAAGACACTGAGTGTGTGTGTGAGCAGACACTGTGAGTGTGTGAGGCAGACACTGAGTGTGTGTGTGAGCAGACACTGTGAGTGAGTGTGTAAGGCAGACACTGAGTGTGAGTGTGTGTGTGTGTGTGAGGAAGACACTGAGTGTGTGTGTGTGTGTGTGTGTGTGTGTGTGTGTGTGTGAGGAAGACACTGAGTGTGTGTGTGAGCAGACACTGTGAGTGAGTGTGTGAGGCAGACACTGTGAGTGAGTGTGTGAGGCAGACACTGTGAGTGTGTGTGTGAGCAGGCACTGTGAGTGTGTGTGTGAGCAGACACTGTGAGTGTGTGAAGCAGACACTGAGTGAGTGTGTGAAGCAGACACTGTCAGTGTGTGAGGCAGACACTGTGTGTGTGTGAGGCAGACACTGTCAGTGTGTGAGGCAGACTTTGTTAGTGTGTGAGGCAGACACTGAGTGTGTGAGGCAGACACTGTGAGTGAATGTGTGAGGCAGACACTGTGAGTGAATGTGTGAGGCAGACACTGTGAATGAGTGTGTAAGAAAGCAAAGATGGATTATTAACTCCTCACAATAACTACTAAGGTACAACCATTAATGGCAGTATTTTGTTAGAGGAAGTGTACACTTGACTTACTATAGCAGAACTTGTCCCGAGGAGCACCTTAACACTAGTTAAGGAAGATGTGTCTACCTATCAGTTCTTACCTACCAGTGACTTCAGTGACGTGAGGTCTAGCTCTTAATGCCCCGCCTACTAGCCGTAATGTACATAACTGTTGCATTATAAGTGAACACTTGTGACCTGGAGACGCAGCTCTTACTGTTCTTCTTGTGTGTATTGTCGCAAGATTTGCAGAATGGTCGAGTAAGAATGTGAATGTCATTAACCTGATTTTCCTATACACTGTTTTACCACTGGTCTCTGGTCCAATTATTCTTCACACATGAAAGCTGGAACTCTTCAGTTGTGATGAGGAATGATGAAGTATGCATCAAATAAAGAAACAATTAAGCAATTGGTACTTAGATATCTGTGGATGTCAAGTGATGGATTACATTTATGGGAGTTTTTGTTAACTTCTAAAGTCAATCATTAAATATTATGAAAATCATGTAATCAAATTGTAAATAATCTTAAATTGTTTTTAAAGTTTCATATAAGTTATACCGTTGCCTTAACAACTTTACTGGCCTCATCTCTTGTAATCATTTCTCACCAATTACATGGTATTTTCTTTTATATAGTTACTTGAACACAAGGCTTGTGGCAGCCCGGACGGAGGGCAACAAGGTGTCATGCATGAGGGGCGACGTACATCAACTAATGGGAGCAGTATTGTACTGGAAGGTCTGGAGAGTTATGCTGAGTATGAAGTGTGTGTCACAGGCAGTAACAGAGGTGGGACGAGCCAGGCGGCCTGCTCCACGGCTGTTACACTCTCCTCTAGTGAGTCCTACTCTTATGAACTCTTTATTATATTTACTAAAGTATATATCAATATACAAGAAGGTACAGTGGGTTCTGTTAGTACAGATGTTGGTGAGTAATTGGTACTATGTGGCAAGGCCACAAGCGATGGGTGAATATCATATATATTTTAGGTATTAATGTAAATATACAAACATTTGATTATTTGTCTGATTCATTATGTCAATAAGTGTATTTCATCACTGTCAAGCACTTGCTTCATAACCTGTATTCCATATTTGGTTCCTTACCCTCACTGTGTTCATAACTCATTACTTCAGCTGGTAATACCTTACCAAACGAAACTGGTTTTTTTTTTTTTTAAGATTTTATACTTTTTATTATTTGCAATTTTCAAACTAACTTGAACAAAATTATTTTATATAATAATTAGGCACATTTTATATTTTCAGATCCAAGTGTTGGTGTGGAGAAGTTTTCCTGCAAGCAAACTAACAACGTCACCACAACATGCACAGCTGATCTTACCGGGTGTGACACATACAATGGACCAGATGTACATGTTAATGTTAGTCTGGGAACTTACTTGCAGTGTTCGAACACAACTCTGGAGTTTCATAAACTATCGAATATATCAGGTGGAAAATGTGTTGCTGAGTTTATGAATTTGACGGGTGGGATGACCTTTGTGGCGACACTCTCCATCACCAATAATGTTAGCCGGAAGGTGCCTGTGAAGACTACCGTTAACTTTACTACTACAGAAGAAAGTAAGCAATATATTTGAAAACTTGACCTATTATTAAGATTTGCCGGCTATTATTTTGAGGGTGTATTTTACAAAATTATTACAAAAATGCATTATCTAAATCGTATTTTTCCAGAACCACCTGAAGTCAGAAACTTTACAGTAAACTCCTTGTCATCAAATAAGGTTCGTCTTCTGTGGAATGATCCATGTCCATCAAATGGAGTAATAACTGGTTTTATGTACAAGGAAGCATCACAGAAGACTTGGACAACCATTGGCACAACAGCATGTAGTGAAGGGTATGACCGCTGTGTTGATGTAGACGGCTTGCGAGCCAACACCAACTATACATTCTGGGTAAGTGTTACGCCTGTCAATCATATCTCTCATCGTGCTGCGACTACTAATCTTATCTCCCTTCGTGCTACATGTCAATCATATCTTCCCTCATGCTACATCTGTCACTCATATCTTCCCTCTTCAACTGTCAATCATATCTTCCCTCGTACTTCAACTGTCAATCATATCTTCCCTCGTGTTTTAACTGTCAATCATATCTCCCCACATAACACTATAATATGGCGTCAGTAGTCTGTCTCCGTGAATAAGGTTCCAGATGGGTGGGATTAACTTGTTATTTTCATCGCCAAACTCCGACAAAAAGCGTTCGTATGTAAACAAATACAAACAAAGAAAAATTTTTGTAGAACTTGCAAGAAAATCTCGACTTTCACCACAAACTACCAATGTTGGAAAAACTAAACAAATATATTCAAGAAATAATATAGTGAAATATTATAAAGTAATATTATAAAGTATAGATAAAAGTATTTACTTCTACTTGTAAATTATTATTGGACTTATTTTTATTATATAATCATCGTCACCATCATCATTGTTATCATCACTATCGCCATCATCATCATCATCTCAGTCATCATTATTATTATCACTAGCACCATCACCGTCATTATTATTAACATCATAATTATCACTAGCACCATCACCACTATAATCGTTTGATTTCTAGCTGTACTATGTTAAGAGAATGTTCCAGTATTCTACTAGGCAATTCTCCACAATAATGACACAGCAGAAGAGACGAAGTGTCACCATTGTGGAGAAATGTGCTGTAGATTACCGGAACATTGGCTAACACAGCGCACAGTAACATTAAATCACATTACCATTGAGATCGAACAAGCCAGAAGTTGTAAAACACATGACATATATAACCTTACTGAACCCAACATACTGATCACAACCACTCATCCAGTGCCTGACCAATACTGACACGAATAACATATAGCGGACCAGACACAGATATTGGGTCTCTTCAGGAATATATCTGTAAAAAAATCGCCATCATTATTATGGCGATTATCATCTTATCATCCTTCTTCCTCCTCCTCCTTGTCCTCCTTCGACACTGTAGAAGAAGTGGGAAAAACATCGGGAGGAACTGAATGCTGCGAAAAGTAATAGAACCAGACACTGTCACACCAGCTGCTGATGTACTTTGTTACCCGCTATCTAAACTTTATATAAAATACTCGAGACAGGAAACGGATAAGACAAACGTAGTTTCCACTATTCAAAAAAAGGGAACAGACCCACCCTATCTCAACCACTATATAACCACACCACCCCACTATAAGTCTATACTCATAATAACCCTATACCCGCAGCAACACATCCACTTAATCCAAACATACCAAATTACTACCAATACCTCAGTCCATTTCCTCAACAGCCCCTTGAACCCAGCCACCGCTCGTATCCCTCAGGTTAACCACTGTTGGGTGTAGCCAGTAACTGGATGGGTAACCTTGCGGACAACCTCGTCTTTGGCTTGCGGGGAATCTAGATAATCTTTACAGAATTCCTCTCCCTTAACACTGGCATATTACAAGCATCAGTAATGCTCTCCCTTAACACTGGCATATTACAAGCATCAGTAATGCTCTCCCTTAACACTGATATATTACAAACATCAGTAATGCTCTCCCTTAACACTGACATATTACAAGCATCAGTAATGCTCTTCCTTAACACTGACATATTACAAGCATCAGTAATGCTCTCCCTTAACACTGACATATTACAAGCATCAGTAATGCTCTCTCTTAACACTGGCATATTACAGGCATCAGTAATGCTCTCACTTAACACTGGCATATTACAAGCATCAGTAATGCTCTCCCTTAACACTGACATATTACAAGCATCAGTAATGCTCTCTCTTAACACTGGCATATTACAGGCATCAGTAATGCTCTCACTTAACACTGACATATTACAAGCATCAGTAATGCTCTCCCTTAACACTGACATATTACAGGCATCAGTAATGCTCTCCCTTAACACTGGCATATTACAAACATCAGTAATGCTCTCCCTTAACACTGACATATTACAAGCATCAGTAATGCTCTCCCTCAACACTGACATATTACAGGCATCAGTAATGCTCTCCCTTAACACTGACATATTACAAGCATCAGTAATGCTCTATGATCACGACGGCTGCTGTAAATTGTCTTTACACTAAATTGTCTCTCCCTTAACACTGACATATTTCAAGCATCAGTAATGCTCTATGATCACGACGGCTGCTGTAAATTGTCTTTCTTCTTAATGTTAAGCTTTTACCTGTTTTTAATATAGTTTAGTTTAGTTTATTGTAATATACTCAATATTTTTAGGAGATGGTGTTGTGAAGTTTTCTTTATATATGGTGCAAGTCATTACCTTGGTCGGTCATGACTGCCAAATATTTCTCAGATATTCCTCGAATTATAGCAACTGTGCAAAAGCTTATTGTGATTATGTTACTCTTTCTTCATCATTGTTTAATGCATCAGGTTTCAGCCGTCAACAGTGCTAGGAGAGGCCGGAGACAGGAGATCTGGATGATAACCATGGAAACAAGTAAATAAAAGTACTGTTTTTCTCTCTTACCCACACGTCCACATGTCTTACGCACACGTCCACATGTCTTACCCACATGTCCACATGTCTTACCCAGGCACCCACTTGTCTCAACACAAAACACTTCTGGATTGAACAGTTGTCCAGGGGCTGCAACATGCACACTTGACTACACAATCACCACCAATACTCTGTCATTAGTATTAGGCTGCCAGAGCTCACCACCAAGACTCTGGTGCTCCTCTCAGCTACACACCTGAGAGGACACACCTGTAGTAGCTACTCAGCTACACATCCATAATATTTACAATATCTATATTCGTATAAAAACTGCAGGAGGGATAGACTTGTATCTATGAGTTCTTTAATATTCTACAGTTATCAGAATTATGATAACTAAAATTTTCACAATTATACATTAATAGTTTAAAAGAAATGGCATTTTACCAATACCCTATAACACTAATTAGGTCAAAATTACTTTAAAACAATAACCGTTAAAGACACCTTTTTTGTAATTGGTTGATTCTGAGGAAGAGAACCAAATACAAATGAGGAGAATAACAGGTTCTCCTATTATAAGAACTAATCTGTATGTTCAAGGGAAAACAAACCAATACCAATATTGTGTGAGAAAGTTTGGGAGGCAGGAGAGTGGTACACCGTTGTAAAGAGTCCAAAGTGCACTCATACTGTACACATTTGCAGCCTTGGTAGCAACCATCACCATACCATTATTGTGTGGGGTATGGCCAACATGTTTCTCCCTCCTCTCAAGGATTGATATTGCCAGGTATATTACCTGCCAATATCTATCTGTATGATGTATAGATTGATTAAATATTCTATATTATCTTACGCAGTTGTCACTGTTATTATGACTTATTACTCTGGCAGTCTATATATTTAATCCAAAACTAATATTCAACTTAATTCAAGGGTTTAGTTTAAGATTAGATGCTAATGTGTATTTTATAAGATAATATTCACTTAATTCAAGGGTTTAGTTTAAGATTAGATGCTAATGTGTATTTTATAAGATAATATTCACTATAGTACCAATAATTTGTTCAAATTAAGATATAATTTGTATTTCTTCCAAAATTATAAATGTAAAGATCATGCTCACTTTGCCTTTATTTCCCCTAAATTCTACTACATTGTTTTTAACCAAAGTGATTTCCTCCAGAGCCGGGACCCCCACAGCAACTTGATGTGGTTCCTCATGATAGCAGTTTAGACTTACAACTCTGGCAACCGCACCTGTGTGGCGGGAGATTACACAATTTCACCATACAACTGAAGAACAAGACAATCCTTGTAGACAACTGCACCAAGGATGCTCCTGACCCTACTTGCTCCAAAGATGCGAAGACAATACCTGCTGAACGTCTTACCTGCCAGGTAAACACAGCCATCACTTGTATGATGAAACATTTTGTGCAACGCTTCAAACTTGATTATCCCCAGTACACTGGTCACCATCACCAGTACACTGGTCACCCAGCACCAGTACACTAGTCACCATCACCAGTACACTGGTCACCCGGCACCAGTACACTGGTCACCATCACCAGTACACTGGTCACCCGGCACCAGTACACTGGTCACCCAGCACCAGTACACTGGTCACCCACACCCAGCACCAGTACACTGGTCACCATCACCAGTACACTGGTCACCATCACCCAGCACCAGTAAACTGGTCACCCACACCCAGCACCAGTACACTGGTCACCATCACCAGTACACTGGTCACCATCACCCAGCACCAGTACACTGGTCACCATCACCCAGCACCAGTACACTGGTCACCCACACCCAGCACCAGTACACTGGTCACCCACACCCAGCACCGGTACACTGGTCACCCACACCCAACACCAGTACACTGGTCACCCACACCCAGCACCAGTACACTGGTCACCCAGCACCAGTACACTGGTCACCCACACCCAGCACCAGTACACTGGTCACCCAGCACCAGTACACTGGTCACCCAGCACCAGTACACTGGTCACCCACACCCAGCACCAGTACACTGGTCACCCACACCCAGCACCAGTACACTGGTCACCCACACCCAGCACCAGTACACTGGTCACCCACACCCAGCACCGGTACACTGGTCACCCACACCCAACACCAGTACACTGGTCACCCACACCCAGCACCAGTACACTGGTCACCCAGCACCAGTACACTGGTCACCCACACCCAGCACCAGTACACTGGTCACCCACACCCAGCACCAGTACACTGGTCACCCAGCACCAGTACACTGGTCACCCACACCCAGCACCAGTACACTGGTCACCCACACCCAGCACCGGTACACTGGTCACCCACACCCAACACCAGTACACTGGTCACCCACACCCAGCACCAGTACACTGGTCACCCAGCACCAGTACACTGGTCACCCACACCCAGCACCAGTCACCCAGCACCAGTACACTGGTCACCCAGCACCAGTACACTGGTCACCCAGCACCAGTACACTGGTCACCCAGCACCAGTACACTGGTCACCCAGCACCAGTACACTGGTCACCCAGCACCAGTGCACTGGTCACCCGGCACCAGTACACTGGTCACCCGGCACCAGTACACTGGTCACCCAGCACCAGTACACTGGTCACCCAGCACCAGTACACTGGTCACCCAGCACCAGTCCACTGGTCACCCAGCACCAGTCCACTGGTCACCCAGCACCAGTACACTGGTCACCCGGCACCAGTACACTGGTCACCCGGCACCAGTACACTGGTCACCCAGCACCAGTGCACTGGTCACCCAGCACCAGTACACTGGTCACCCAGCACCAGTACACTGGTCACCCGGCACCAGTACACTGGTCACCCGGCACCAGTACACTGGTCACCCGGCACCAGTACACTGGTCACCCGGCACCAGTACACTGGTCACCCGGCACCAGTACACTGGTCACCCACGCCCAGCACCAGTACACTGGTCACCCACACCCAGCACCAGTACACTGGTCACCCACACCCAACACCAGTACACTGGTCACCCACACCCAGCACCAGTACACTGGTCACCCACACCCAGCACCAGTACACTGGTCACCCAGCACCAGCACACTGGTCACCCACACCCAGCACCAGTACACTGGTCACCCACACCCAGCACCAGTACACTGGTCACCCGGCACCAGTACACTGGTCATCCAGCACCAGTACACTGGTCACCCAGCACCAGCACACTGGTCACCCACACCCAGCACCAGTACACTGGTCACCCAGCACCAGCACACTGGTCACCCACACCCAGCACCAGTACACTGGTCACCCACACCCAGCACCAGTACACTGGTCACCCGGCACCAGTACACTGGTCACCCCAGCACCAGTACACTGGTCACCCAGCACCAGCACACTGGTCACCCACACCCAGCACCAGTACACTGGTCACCCTCACCCAGCACCAGTACACTGGTCACCCACACCCAGCACCAGTACACTGGTCACCCACACCCAGCACCAGTACACTGGTCACCCACACCCAGCACCAGTACACTGGTCACCCAGCACCAGCACACTGGTCACCCACACCCAGCACCAGTACACTGGTCACCCACACCCAGCACCAGTACACTGGTCACCCGGCACCAGTACACTGGTCATCCAGCACCAGTACACTGGTCACCCAGCACCAGTACACTGGTCACCCACACCCAGCACCAGTACACTGGTCACCCACACCCAGCACCAGTACACTGGTCACCCAGCACCAGTACACTGGTCACCCAGCACCAGTACACTGGTCACCCACACCCAGCACCAGTACACTGGTCACCCACACCCAGCACCCAGTACACTGGTCACCCAGCACCAGTACACTGGTCACCCAGCACCAGTACACTGGTCACCCAGCACCAGTACACTGGTCACCCAGCACCAGTACACTGGTCACCCAGCACCAGTACACTGGTCACCCAGCACCAGTACACTGGTCACCCAGCACCAGTACACTGGTCACCCACACCCAGCACCAGTACACTGGTCACCCAGCACCAGTACACTGGTCACCCACACCCAGCACCAGTACACTGGTCACCCACACCCAGCACCAGTACACTGGTCACCCCACACCCAGCACCAGTACTCTGGTCACCCAGCACCAGGACACTGGTCACCCCACACCCAGCACCAGTACACTGGTCACCCAGCACCAGTACACTGGTCACCCACACCCAGCAGTAAGTAAGTAATTATCAAAAGAAGGCACCAAACCGGGAAGGCTATGTAGCACCATCAAATACGCAAAATAATCAGAGGGCGCTAAATATCACCAAGGATGCCAATACGAGAACAAAAACGCATAAGGCGAACGATATCAAAAGTATCCGAGTCACCAAGAATTCTATCGAGGGACAGGTGACCGCGAGGGGCGGTCGGAAAGCAAGACACACGCTCGTCCTGGAAGTCAGGACATTCAAGAAGGACATGCACGACCGTAAGAGGGACAATGCAACTAGGACAATAAGGAGCAGGGCGGCGCTCCATCAAGTGACCATGGGTTAAGCGAGTATGGCCAATACGCAACCTCGCTAGAGCTGTTTCCCACCGCCGGTTACGGTGGAAGGAGGACGGCCACGAGGAAACACAACATTTAAGAGTACGTAGCTTGTTACCAGTAACAGACAACCAAGAAGCCTGCCAACGGGTAAGGACTGAGGAATGGATAACCGGGTAAAAGTCGGAATACGGAATGCCTTTACGAGAGATGGGACAAGAGCGGACAGCTTCCTTAGCGGCAGCATCCGCACGCTCATTTAAAGACACGCCAATATGGCTGGGAACCCAACAAAACTCAACCGACTTAAATTTACTGTGAACGAGAAACAGCCAATGCTGGATCTCGACAACTACCGGATGAACTGGATTAAAGCACCCGAGAGCCATGAGGGCACTACGAGAGTCAACAACAACCACAAAGGAAGACTGACAACGAGAAAGCAGGAGACGAAGAGCATAGAGAATAGCATAAAGTTCCGCTGTAAAGATGCTAGTCTCCGGAGGCAAGCGACACATATAAGTGCGATCAGGAAAAACAACAGAGTAGCCAACACCGTCCGCTGACTTAGACCCATCGGTGAAGACAGAAACGGAGCGGGAGTGAGAAGAAAAGTGCTCGAGGAAAAGGCGTTTTAGAACTGTAGGAGGGGTAAAAGCTTTAGTGATACGAGTCAAGGATGTACAAAACCGCGGAAGAGGGACCCTCCACGGGGGCAAAGAAGGAACAACACGAGGAGAAACATCAGAAATACGAACGGAAAGAGAATCCTGCAGGCGAGATAACCGGACAGAAAGAGGGAGGTAGTGAAGAGGAACAGGAACCGCAGGAGGGGTAAAAGTTAAAGCACGACAGAGACGAGAGGAAGGATGTTGCAAGGACCGCGCAAGATAGCGAAGACAGTAGCGATCACGGCGGTCCTGGAGAGACAGGAAGCCAGTGTCAACATACAAGCTAAGGACGGGAGTCGAACGAAAGGCACCAGAACTGAGGCGCAACCCAGTATGGTGCAAAGCATCAAGACGGCGAAGAGTAGAAGGAGAAGCAGACGAGTAAGCAGGGCAACCATAATCGAGCTTAGACAGGACGAGAGAGGAATGTAAAGCAAGGAGAGTGCGCCTATCTGCCCCCCAAGAAGTATGGGACAAGACCCGAAGGAGGGTAAGGGACTTAGAGCACTCAACACGGAGGTAAGAGATATGGGGAGACCAAGACAAACGAGTGTCAAGGAATAACCCCAAAAGCTTCGCGGAATCTTTGTATTCAAGGGGATGACCATAAAGTGACAAAGAGGGACGAAGAACAACCCGTTTCCGCGTAAAAGTCATGGCACAAGTCTTAGAAGTAGAGAACTTGAAGCCATGACCTGTGGCCCAAGACGACACGGCATCAATCGCAAGTTGAAGCCGGCGTTGAAGGAGAGGCGAATCATCACCCTGACAACAAAGGGTAAGATCATCGACATAGAGAGCGGAGAAGACACCAGAAGGAAGAGAGGAAAGAAGACCATTGAGGGCAACCAGAAAAAGAGTAGTGCTCAGAACACTACCCTGGGGCACACCTTCGTATTGCTGAAAAGAGGGAGAGAGAGCGGTACCAAGGCGCACCCGAAAGGAACGACGAGAGAGGAAGCTGCGGAGAAAGAGAGGGAGATGACCACGAAGGCCAAAAGAATGAAGTTGAGATAGGATATGATAACGCCAAGTGGTGTCGTAAGCCTTTTCTAGGTCAAAAAGGACGGCAACAACGGAGGTCTTCGCAGCAAAAGCAGTACGTATATAGACCTCCAAGTTCACCAGGACATCTGTCGTGCTGCGGCACTTGCGGAAACCAAATTGAGAAGGGGAGAGGAGGTGATGGTGTTCCAGGAACCACATCAGACGAACGTTAACCATACGTTCAAAGAGTTTGCAGACACAACTTGTGAGAGCAATAGGGCGAAAGTCCTTAGGGGAAGTACCCAGAGACCCCGGTTTGCGAACAGGGAGGACAACGGCATCGAGCCAGTCCTCAGGGACTGACGACGACTCCCAGATCCGATTATACAGACTCAGTAAATACTGAGACGTGCTCGGAGGGAGATGGCGAAGCATCTCATAATGAATACCATCGGAGCCCGCCGCCGTAGAACCGCAGAGGGCCAGGGCAGAACGAAGTTCAGAGAGAGAGAAGGGATCATTATAGGGAAGCTGAAGATGAGTGCAGAAATCTAAAGGACGAGACTCAAGGACAGGTTTACGAAGAAGGAAAGATTGGGGAAGATGAAGACCAGAGCTAACAGAAGAAAAGTGGGAACCCAGTTCGGAAGCGACCTGCAACGGGTCCGCCACAAGAGTATCATGGAGGTGAAGGACCGGTGAAACATCGGGAACGAACTTACCCGCTATCTTGCGGATACGCTTCCAGATCTGGGCCAGAGGGGTTTCGGACGTAATTGTCGAGACATAAGATGCCCAACATTCACGTTTAGCCGTACGGATGGCCCTACGGGCCACCGCACTCGCTTTCCGAAAGAAAAGAAAAGAATCGGTCGTCTGCCTACGGCGGTGCTTCTTCCAGGCTGCACGCTTACAGCGGACAGCCCGAGCACAGTCCGCATTCCACCAGGGAACGCACTTTCGTGGACCCCGAGAGGAAGAGCGAGGAATAGAGCGGAGGGCAGCGTCGAAGACAGTGTCATGAAAAAGGAGGAGAGCGCGAGAGAGGGGCAGAAGGGAGAGGTCAGAGAGAGTAGCACTGAGGGAAAATAGGGTCCAGTCCGCCTTAGCAAACTGCCACCTAGGGAAAGAGAGGGAAGGGCGAAAAGAGAAAAAGGAAACAAGGATGGGGAAATGATCACTTCCATGGAGGTCATCAAGAACCTGCCATGTGAAATCTAAGTAAAGAGAAGAAGAGCAGAGAGAAAGATCAAGACAAGAAAGGGTGCGAGTTCGAGAGTCCAAATGAGTGGGCTCACCAGAATTCAGAAGAGACAGGGAAGAAGAGAGGAGAAACGGCTCAAGGAGGCGACCCCGGGTATTCGTCAGAACGTCACCCCAAAGAGAATGACGACAATTGAAGTCACCCAGCAGGAGCACAGGCTCCGGCAAGGAGTCTAGGAGGTGTTTCAAATCAGGAAGAGAGAGCGGGACACTCGGGGGGAGATAAATGGAACAAACTGTGTACCATTTCCCCACAAAGATACGAGCAGCAGAACAATGGAGAGGCGAAGGAAAAAGTAAAGGAACAAAGGGAACATCAGCCCGAATCAAGAGAGCAGAAGAATTAGAAGCCCCAGCAATGGCTGGGGGGGGGGGAGAGAAAGGAATAGCCACGAAAACGACCAGGACGAGCACCAAGCATCGGCTCCTGGAGACAGACACAAAGGGGCGAAAACCGCGAAACCAGAAGTTGGAGTTCGAGGAAATTGGCGTAATAACCTCGAACGTTCCATTGAAGAATGGACAACGACGAGAAGAGAAAGGACAAAAACAGAGAACAAGGAAGAAACAAAGGCGAAAGACCAACAGAGCACGTTAAAGAATATCAGGGTCGGGATCAGGGTCAGCAAAGTCAGGGTTAGGGGGCATGGGTAAACTGAGCAAAGACGGAGGGAAGGAAACGGGAGAACAGATCAGAGGTGGGCGGGCAGGGTCCGGAGGAGGAGGAGGAGGAGGAGGAGGAGACAACGGAGAGGAGCAGTCAAGGACAGCAGCAGGAAGAGGGGGAGTAGAAAGAGAGGAGCGCACCCCAGCAAGAGCAGCAACCGAAAGGGAAGCAGGGGCCAAAGAAACCTCCATAGCAGGAACAGGGGGCGCAAGCACTGAAACGGGAGTGGAAGGAGCAACAGAGCCAGAAGGAGGAGCTGAGGAAGAAAGCGAAGCCTTCTTACCCGCCGGGGAAGAGGAAGGAGAGGAGCCAGGCTTACGCTTCTGACTTAAAGAGACCGGTGTCCCAGCAACTACGTACCGGGCAACGGATTCCAGTGTCTCAACAGGAGAAGCCGAACGAGAGCACACACGACGGCCGTTAGGAGAGCGATGGACATCCGCCCGCACCGACAGGCGGCGGGGAGAGCCGATAGATGGAGGAAGAGGATGGGAAGGAGGATCGGAGGGGGACGAGGAAGGAGACACAGAAGACACGACAGACCGGGTAGAAGGAAGGGGAACCCCAGACAGAGGACCAGGAGGAGGATCCTTCGGGAGAGAACCCAAAGGGACAGAGGAGGGGGCAGTGGGCGCATCAGGGTCCAAGGCCTGGAAACGGTTGTGAGTCTGAGGAAGGCGGGAAGGACGAGGAGAGGAAGAGCGCAACATGCGAGCATAAGAGATATTAGCATAAGGCGGGAGCCGGCGAACCTGGCGCCTCGCCTCAGGAAAAGATAAACGCTCCCGGTGCTTCAAGTTGAGGACGGCTGCCTCAAGCTTGTAATGGACACACGCACGGGAGAAGGTAGGATGGGCCTCACCGCAGTTGAGGCAACGAGCCTGGGGAGAAGCGCACTCCGACTTAGAGTGACCTTCGCCACCACACAAAGGACAGAGAGAGACAGTCCCGGAGCAGCGGAGGGCACCATGCCCAAACCTCCAGCACTTGTTGCAGAGCCGAGGAGAAGGAATGTACTCCTGGACAGAGCACCTGGCACCAGCAAGAATGACAGAGGGTGGAAGGGTCCTACCATCAAAGGTAATCTTCACAACCCGGAGGGGTTGACGGCGACTACCACGAGGGGGACGAGTAAACGTGTCCACCTGGAGAATAGAATGGCCCTGGGCAGCGAGGATATGTCGAATATCGTCGTGGCAGTCGCGTAGGTCCCGAACACCGGTCGCAACATGGGGCGGGAGCAAAATAGTGCCAACACTGGCATTCAACTGAACGTTCTTCGAGACCCGAACGGGGGTCTCGCCAAGGCAGGATAAGGCAGCCAAGCGGGAAGCAGCATCCTGAGAAGGAGCAGCAACGACACGCGTACCGAGACGAGTGGGGTTAAAAGTAATGGAGGCATCCACGGAATCAATGAGATGTCGATGAAGGGAGAAATCGTCAGGAGGCGCAGAATCAAGAGGGAGGAGATCAAAATATTTGGCCCACGAAGCGGGACCAAACAAGGCTTGATAGGTAGCAGAACTGGAAGGAATCGAGCGAGGGCGGCCGTGACGAGAACGGCGGTGAGAACCCCCAGAGAGAGAGGGGTTAAAAGGCGCAGTAGTTACAACTAGAGAAGGAGCCGCGCCAGGGGACGAGGTAGTCACCACTGGGGGCTTGGGGCTCGACCCAACCACAGAGGAGGGAGGGGAGCCAGGGGAAGGAGTCAGAGAGGCCAAAGGAGGAGCAAGGTCGGGGCCCAATGCAGCGGAGGCTACAGAGCCCGGTCTTCCAATACGGACCGACTCGGGGGCTTGGTCGCCCACCCCACGAGCCTGAAAAGGTAAGCCAGAAGCAGCCGAAACAGGGGTTATCATCTTGACGAAATTACGAATTCACTCACGAATGTGCCCCCACACCCACCATGGAGCCACAATTAGAGGCAGGACACCCAACAAGAAGCTATCGCCGATCTTGTCGGGGCCTCCTAGGGGTGCGTCGTGAGTATACGCCCCACAAACGCCACCTTAAGAAACCGACAGTCCGTCGAGATCGGGTTCAGTGACGAAGTGGGGATTGACAATAAAAGGTTCCCCTCGCTCTCGACGTCGGGTACTGCAGTTCTACGGGTGCAAGAGTATGCCTCCTCAAGCACCCGGGCGTCAAAGTAGAAGAAGTCCAAGGGAAGAACCAGAACGAGCAAAAGGTCGGCAGGAAACGGCAAGCAGATAGGAGAAGAGGGGGGAGAAAAACGAAACAGAAGGAAAAGGAAAAGATGCCCAGCAGAATTGGAGAGGACGGCAGCAGGAGCACAAGGCTAGAAAAGGACAGAGGACTGTCCCAAGGAGCATCACACTCCGGCAGCCGCCCACTAAGCCCCCAGACGGCGACAACGAGCTGAGCGGGGAGGGGGGTTTATGTAATGTCACTTCAGATGTCAAAGTTGAAGCCAGGAAGACGGTACGAAGCTGAGGCTTTCTTCTGTAACGCTGCAGGATGTGGCAAGCCCTTTGTCAAAACTGTAGCCACTCTGCCCATTCCTCCCAAGCTGAGCGGCAAGTTTCAAGTGAAGTCCAAGACCAACACCACCGTTACCCTTGCTCTTCCCACCTTTACCATGGAAGGTGATGGTGACAGGTTAGTCTTACTGTAGCCCTGCCCACCGTTGTCACGGAAAGTGACGGTGACACTGTCTGATAAGGTAGTCAAGCCCCCTGACATGACAAGATCAGGACCACTGTTTGGTATGGCACGAAATCTGCCCCCCCCCCACCTCTCCACTTCCTCAGATACACCCCTTTTGTTCGTCGTTATGAACTATAGTCAGTAGCTCACTGTGATGTCCCTGGCAAGAGTATAAAGTGTCCTTACATGTTTTGCAGATCTGTGGCAATTTTGGTGTCTCGGCTCTCCGAGGACGCACAAGATGTGGCCGAGACCTTTACTGCCACGTATATAAAGCTTGTTGCAGAGGGTATAAGCCAGAATAGGTCAGCTTCAGGTGGGGAGCGGGTGAGGCGGCAGGCAGGCGACCACCACTGCGAGGACACTAACCGGACATACATAGCTGCCGTGTTAACACAGGTATGTTGAGGTTTGTCTATCGTCACCACAAGTACTACAATGTAATCTTAGTCAGCCCGTCCTCCCAAGGGTTACCAACGTCAAGAAACTGTCGTACAGTGATTGATTGATGCTGCCGCAGGCGGCTAGTTTGTTGTACACCCCATACTCGTCCTGTGAGTGGTAGCGCAAAAGGATTACAGAGGGCACAAAAGGTCTTTATCAGACCTCAACGGAGATTATTACATTAACAATCACATCTATCCTGAACACCTTATAAATTACAATGTCTGCTAGTTACAGAGAATGTTCTATTTCTAGAGCTATATATTTACAGTAAGTCATTATACATGGTAGGTATTATCGCTAATACATAATTGTTTGAGCAATGAAGCTATTATTCATAGTGGAGCTGCTGTTTGTGATTAGTCTTAACAATACACTACTTGTTTCTTAATCTCATATGTCATTTATCTCCTGGAAGCGAAATATGGATACAGTGCAAGGATTTCAGTTATTTTATCCTTAGTAATAAGATAGGTTGCCATATCATACAACTTGTGTTTTGATTCATCTCTAAATGGCTCAGTTTTACTACAATCCAAGATATAGTGTTCGAGCGTGTGTCCCTGTTATGACGAAAAAAGTAGATGTTAGCACAGTCTCTAGGCAGATGGTATGCCAATCATAGAAATAAAAAATAAAAGCAAAAAAAAAAAAAGTAAAAAAAAAATTAGACTGCTGTGTAATTTTCACTGTGACGACTGGAGGATAAAGCACAAAAGAGAAAAAACATTTAAAATCGTTTACTTAAACAAATAACATAAACACTTAACATGAAAATAAAAATAATTTCCAAAACTTTGCTGTATTCTGAGTATACAAAATGAACAAGATAAACAGACAATCAAATTTACATTACATTAATGTGCAATTAAAATATGGTGCTAGAATACTGTGAGCCAGACTGAATAACTCTTACCACACCAGGGTATGTCAACAGGTCTACTCAGTAGAGTACTCAGTAGTAATCTGACTAGCTGGAGCATCAAGCCTCTATATATAGGGAACGGTGGCCGTCCAGATGGCGCTGTAGTCGTACATAACTATGAACCGGCTCACGTTAATGACCACAAGCTTGTTCTGGTGGAGTGGCGTGAGCTCCCAGCCAGGTGCGAGGAGGGTGACAGGCAGTGGAGTAGGGGGGGAGGTAGTCCACCTTATATACGTGGAGTAGTAGTTGTTGTTGCTGCAGTTCTTTATTATATATACGTGGTGTGGTAGAATAGGTGATGATGGAGCAGGCCGAATCTCTTCCTAGAGATTTTACCACGACGGCTCTCCCTCGAAGCCTACTGCTATTGCCTATTCGACTGCAGCAGAGTGTAGAATAGTAGGAGTGGGGACGAGTCCACCTAGTGGACTCGTGAAAGTGCGTCAGCGACGAGTGTCGGATCCTTTGATGAAGAAGATGGTAATGTTGAAGTTCTGCAGGTACAGGGCCCAGCAAAGCAGACGTTGGTTGGAGAACTAGGCCTGCTGCAGAAACTGAAGAGAATGGTGCTTGTAGAAGATGTTGAGGTAGCAGTGCAGGACTCGGTGAAGTATGAATCGAGCCTGCTGAATGGATCAGCAAGAGTGGTGATCCATGGAAATGGTGAGATGGTTCATCTGATGCAAGGCCCAGTGCAGCAAATGCTGATGGGAAAACTGGGCTAGCAATAGGAACCGAAGAATGTTGAAGTCCGAGGAGAGGTTGAAGTTGTAACCTAGTAGATTGGATGGTTCGTTGTGTTGCATGTCGAGCTCGATGTTGAGTGGTTCCTCTATGATGATTGTAGCTAGAGTGCATGATGCATTCTCGCGGCGATATGATGGTGTTCCTATCGCCAGGGTGGAAGACTAAAGGTTTTCTAATACCTGGCAGGGCGAGAATGGAGTTTAGTACAAGACAAGGATTTACGCCTTTCAAATGCATTGGAAGGTAAGTTTGTCTTACAATATTTTAGCCGAGGGCTGATAAAGTTGTCTGGAGGGGCACATTTGTGGATTTGGTTTGTAGAGAGGAGGATTTTTCCTGGTGGAGTAGATTGAGAATTTAGAACCATTGTAGTCAGGCCAAGTACAACGCGAAAGATTAGACAATACCTTGGAGGCGTTGATTGTCTTACACAGGTCGTTGGAGAAGGTGTTGTCACACTCGCTCTGACTTTCCTGGAGATGTCCGTACTGCAGGCACTGCTTCACGAGGTGATTCACAACGTTAGCAGCCGTACATTTCTGGACAGAAATGCTGTGGAATACCTGATGGTAGAACACGGGATAGTATATAAAGGTAAGTTACCTGAGCTTGTCTGGGACAGAGGCTCGTCATAGTTGATGGTATGGCTAAATGGCTCAGAAGAGCCTGGTACCTGTATCAGGGATGCCTTTAATACAAGAGCGTTCGGCTTACCTGTCACCCGAGATTGTTGACAATGTTTTACAAAGTGTTTAATATCACGAATCATACCTGGCCAGTAGTAGTCCTGTTTTAAGGCTTTGTAAAACCCGTAGTGTAAGCGAGATTCTCGGACCAGATGCAAAATATCTGATCGTAGGCTGTTGGGAACTACTAGTTGGTTGATGTTGGCCCGATCGTCGTCCTCCTTCAATTTCTTGGTTCTATAGTGCCGGTTTAACACTGTTTTCGGCAGAGAAACCAGGGATAGAGTTAGGTTGTGTCTCAGCCTGTAAGAATAAAGATGTTAAGGAGGGATCCTCTCTCTGCAACTTACAGAACTCCAGCAGGGGAGATTCGGTGAGAGGCTCTGAGAATCTTTAACAGCTGCAGCAGCTGGTTTCGGGCGAGCAGCTGTGGCCCACTTCGTCACCATAACAGAAGGGGAAACGTCATTTGAATCATCAGTTGTTTGGACCTCTTGAACAAACTGCAAAACAGGATTTTCCACTGCCGAGTCACATACCAGGGGGTTTTCCGTGCTGATTAAATTCGCAGGTTGTTGATCTTCTGCCAAGTCGTTGCCCAGGAGAAGTGGGCTCTTGACATGGGAAAAGGCTTTTCCTAGATGGCGACTTGGACTTCGCCTTGTATAAAGGGACAATCCAGGCGGACTCGGGCAAGTGGCTATGGAGTAGTAGCAGTTAGGTTCGTGATGAAGACAGTTTCTCCGGTGTAGGTGACGTTGGGTACACCTGACTCCAGAAGAATAGATTGTAGAGCAGCTGTGTCCCTCAAGATCTTCACTTTGAACCTTTCCTCCGAATCTCCATGGCTGGCAGAGACTGTTCCAGAGTACAAGTGTCTGTTGAAGAGAGAAAGAATAGTGGATGAAACAAAAATATTCATCGCAGGCTTAGGGCTCTTATGAATTTTAGGTGGTGGTGATTTGTGCTTATTTTCACTGCTGACTTTACAGTGAGGATGGGTACACTTTTCTATGGTATGCCCATAGTCTTTGCAATAATTCAATACAACGAGGAGTTCACATTACTGGTTCACACTTTTACCATTGTTTATCACATTTCATTGTGATAAACAATGGACCTGCTAGTTCCAGTTTGCACTGTTCTACTTTCTTCAAAATCATCCAAGAGTTCTCATTTAATGACACTTTTATGGAACCTATTTTATAATTCAAGATTACGTTCAACACTGTCTTTATTTACTGCAACCTTAGCAAGGGCGTCAACTTTATCATGTTCCTGCAGGCTAATGTGAGAAAGAATCTACAGCATTTTTATATATACCCCCTTGTTAAGTATGCTTATATATCGGTGTCTGTCTTCTGAGACTAAAGTTCCTTTATCCTAACCTACCAGTATCTCAATTTTGGGAGTCGTTAACTTTTTCTAGTACGACAAATTTTTGCCCTAGGTAGAGTATACGTCAAAAGACGACGTTCTACTAGGAGGACGGGTTGATCTTGTCGTTGATTATTCCGTAGTGCACAATTTGTCAACCACAATTGTCACAATCACTTGTCACAATTTGTAACCACTTATATAAATTGTTACAATTCTGCCTGCCATGAATATCAAAACTTGCAATTTGAGTGATGATATATATTGACAAAGCGTTGTGTGGTAGTAACGACTACCACAGTAGTAGTCACGACTGTGGCAGCCACAGTAGCAACAGTACCAGTAACCAACATGTAACACCTTGCTTCATTAATGTACAAGTGTTGCTGGGTTCTTTACTTCTCATTTGTTTATTTCTTATTTTATGTTGTTTTGTATGGAGTTATATTGTATTACTGAGTTGTTTTGTGAGCTGACTTAATTGTGGACTCCACTTGAGTTCTGTTGTAAATTTTGTTACACATTTTCACGTTCCCATAATTTATATTTGTTTTAATTCCTGTTTGCTTCTGTTACTACTGATAGTCTCTTCTGTGTACATATGTGTTGGAATTTGATAAATAAATAAAAATGTGGTTCCCTGGATGTCCACCCTGACGTTGTCATGAGGGAAGGGTTGGCAGCACTGACGTAACTATGTAAACATATGGGATTCGGCCGCCAGAGGTCGTTGGGTGAGGGTCCGGCTGTTTTGATTGGGGTCATGGAAATTTCTCCTTCCCCCCTATCCGCCGTTCAGAGATGGTTGGCCTGGAGTTCTCTGGCAGGGTATCGTACCTTGCCATGGAAGTAGTTATGTTGGATATGTTCCGTGTTAAGGTGTCGGATGTGTTTGGTGTACAGCTCCTCATGAACCACCTGGCGCTCGTTAAGTTCCATTCGCCGGCTGTTTATAAAGACTTTGTGGCCCGTTATGATGGGCGTTTGTTTACCCTCCCTAATGACGCTTCCTCCTGTGCCTGGCCTGGTGCCCCATGTGGTTGAGGATGCTGCCGTTCTGCGACGTGCATCGGTTCGCCCGGCTTGTGTTTCGCGTGTCTCTGAGTCAGCCTCCGGGTCTGATGATGTGCGGCCAGTGCCTAAGCGTTCACGGTGTTCGTCTTCAGCATGAGCTGACGTTGGCGACTTCGACGCTTGTGAATCTGACGGCGACGGAGGGGTGGCACCTGTTGTGTTGCAGACCACGGTGACGGCGAAGGTGCATTTGCCTGAGGATGCCGGTGCTGGTGTTTCGGCCTCCGCTTCAGATATGGTGTCTGCGGTTCCTGTTTCGGGTGCGTCGCCTGCCTCGGATGGCTCCGGTTCTTCATGGGGAGTGGTTCCCCCTGCTGAGATTCACGGTGAGCGGGGTGGCCTGGTGATTGTGTTGAAAAAGGCTGCTCGCTCTGGGGGTTCTGTAACCCCTTCCTCGGTCCCCGTTTCATCGGCTGCGGTCTCGACGCCTCTTCCGTCTCCGGCCATCTCTTCAGCGTCTCCTGCGGTCTCGGTGGAGGCGTTACCATCTCGTCTATTGTCCCCTGCTCCTGTGCGTATGGCGACGCGGTCGTCTCGGCAGCCCTCGTACGCTTCAGTGGTGTCGTCTGCTACCTCGAAGGACGTGATTTGCGCTCCCAGCCTCGTTATGCGACTTGCGTCGGTGAGCTTAAGGAGTGGCCGTTTCCCCCTGATCTGGTGGTTCCTGAGTTTATAAGTGGCCCACGCCGGCAGGGGGATCGTCCCCCTACCGACAGAGAATATTTGATTTGGGAGGCGTACAAGTGAAGGTATCCTTGGGCTTCGGAGACGTTTGGTCCTGTCTCTTGAGAAATGTATTCCTCACTCATGATTCCTTTGTGTATTGTGTGCTGTGGGTTGTTTCCATTTGTGTGCTTGGTTGTGGGGTGCGGGTCGGGTGTGTGTGAGTGGGTGGGGCGGGTTTGTTTCCCGGTTCCTGCGTGCTCCGGTTTGTGGTTGTGGGTTTATTTGTGTGGTTTGTGTGTGTGTGTGTCCAGTTCCTGTGCAGTCCGGGGTTTGGTTTGTGTGGATGTAATGTTCTTGTGTTAGGATTTGTGGTTCTATGTTATTATTATTATTCTTATTATTGTTATTATTATTTTTGTTTCGTGTTGGTGCCTCTCCGTGTGTGGTTGCGGTGTTGGTAGCCTTGTTCTGTATATTTAATGTTTTGGTGTGTTATTTCTGTATTGTCTTCTGCTGTGTTCAACTTATTTGTTGTAATTTGTTTGTAAATATTGTTGTTTTGTGGTCGGCCCTTCCGGCCGGCGGTTTTGTGTTCAGTACACTTGTTCCCTTATGTTTTTGCACGTTTGTGTTGTCATTTTGTTCTGTTCTATTTGTTTCCTTTTATTGTACATATAAGCATGCTTGCGTGTAAAAATAAAAAATAAAAAAATAAAAAATCTCTGTCCAACCGCTGCTGCTCACTCAAGTATGTGGCCCCTTTTGAATTCTCAGAAGACCTGCTTCGGCACTATTTTGGAAACTATGGGACCGTGGTGTCACTGATTGAATACCATCTCTTCCGGCAGGTGGAAGGGGGTTTCGTGCGGTACCAAGACCCTCGCCCTGCGTCTCAAAGTCTCCTGTTCCGTCCACTGTTACGTTGATAGGCTCCCCCATGTGTGCCTTCTACGCAGGGAAGCCCAGGTCATGTTTTCGATGTGGACTTGAGGGGCACCAGGCGGCGGCCTGCACTGGTGTGGCGGTTGTGCCAGTGAATTTGTTTCAGGAGGAGGATTTTCCCCCACTGGTGGCTTTGGACCTGTCGCCTTGTGATGGTGTGGTGAGGAAGGCTTCCCTACCGCCTGATGCACCGGTGGTGTTACTGGGTTCCTCGGCTTGTGAGCCCATGAGTACAGATGGTGGTGTGTGAGGACCCGCCCCTGCAGTTGGCTTCCTCGCCTCGGCCAGCTCCTTCACCTCCGCGGGCTCCCTCACCTCCGCAGGCTCCCTCACCTCCGCAAGCTCCCTCACCTCCGCAGGCTCCCTCACCTCTGCAGGCTCCCTCACCTCTGCACCTCACCTCCGCAGGCTCCCTCACCTCAGCTGGCTCCCTCACCTCCGCAGGCTCCCTCACCTCCGCAGGCTCCCTCACCTCCGCAAGCTCCCTCACCTCCGCAGGCTCCCTCGCCTCCGCAGGCTCCCTCACCTCCGCAAGCTCCCTCACCTCCGCAGGCTCCCTCGCCTCCGCAGGCTCCCTCACCTCCGCAAGCTCCCTCACCTCCGCAGGCTCCCTCACCTCAGCTGGCTCCTTGGCCTCTGCAGGCACCTTCACCTCTGCCAGATCCCGCGTCTCCGCTGGCTCCCTTGTGGAAAATCTGACTCAAATATTTGCATTAAATATTGAAAACTTCAATAGTTACAAAGGACCACCACTTTTTGTGGAAAACTGAGGAGAGCAAGTGTATTGAAATTAAGTCCACGAACTAGTGTTCTATGGATTTTAATTAAACTGCATGTTATCATGAAATAAGAGTCAAATTCACTTTCACAAATTGGGGGGTAAAAGCGCTAAGATACGATTACGTCTTAGCACCAATAATCTGATGCTGGTTCATCAGAATGGATTGTAAATATGAAATCATATTATTGCATATACACATATGTAATTAGGATATAAAATGATATCAGTGAATAATGCATGGCAAATATAAATGATTAGTAAAATGTGATCTAATAGAAAATCATTCATGTGATCTAAATATTAGTATTCTACTGAGGATTATCTAAGGTTACAAAAATATTAGGCCAGCTTAGCTGTTCAGATGGAACAGTTGTAAGCGTGTGGGGCAGTCACGGCGTCACGCTTGTTGCAACACGCTGTCCGCGCACGCACATTATTATTGTTATTGGTGTGAATGTATATGGGGGGTTGTTAAGGGGTTAATAAATAAGTTAGTTAAAGGAGTATCCATTCTTCCTGTGTAGGAGATCTATGATCAACCTCTAAACTGGCATTATCTTGTAGCCAATTAATATTCACTGTTGATATTTTTATTTGGGGGCCGGGCCTTTTAGATCTCCCATATTTGATAACTCTTAATGCTAACTACTGCCCCTACATCCATTTAATACTAGATCCCCCATAGTACAGCCCACGATTTATAACAGTGGGCTACAGAATGTGATGTTGAGGACTCTTGAGGGCTCATCCTCTGTGGAGTGCGAGGTTGCTGTGCAGAGGCTGGTATAGTTCCTGCAGGTGGTGTAGACCCTGTTGTAGGGGTGGGGGCCAGTGCGGGGACCTTGGTGCCTGTTTCAGAGGCCTCACCCGCATCCGTTTGTTTCGGTTCCCCGTGGGAGGTGGTGCCCCTGCCGAAGATGTTGGTGAGCATCGTGGGTTAGTGTTGGTCCTGAAGAAGGATGCTCGCCCGTTGGGTTTCGTGCCCCCCGCCCCCTGCTACGTCAGCGGCGGTGGTGCCGCCTCTCCAGTCCTCGCCTTCGTCTTCAGTGTCTCATGTTTCGTCGGCGTTGGTCTGGCCGCCTCTCCAGCCTTCGTCTTAGGTGTCTTCTGTTTCGTGGGCGGCGGTATTGCTGCCTCTCCTGCCTCCGCCTTCGTCTTTGATGTCCTCTGCTCGGGGACGACCGCCTCTGCCTGGGTTTCTGCCTGATATAATGATTCCGGAGTGCATGAACCACCCGCGGCGTCTTAGGGATGTTCGCCCTACTGAACTGGAAGGATGATTTGGAATGCTTAAGTTAAGACGTATCCGCAGTTGGATTACCCTGAGAAATATGTGGATTATTATTATTAGTGAATTTGTTCCTGTTGCACCTGATTCCTATGTATTTTGATGTTTTGTTTGTGTCTGTATGTACTTACCTAATTGTGTTGTTGTGGGGTTGGTGGTTGTGTGTATGGGTGAGTGGGGTATTTGTTCCCGGTTCCTGCATGTTCTGGTGTTTCTGCTTATGGGTTTAGGTGCGAGGTTGTGCTTTGTTTTTCCGGTTCCGGTGTTTTTTTTTTTTTTTAGATATATACAAGAGTTGTTACATTCTTGTACAGCCACTAGTACGCGTAGCGTTTCGGGCAGGTCCCTGGAATACGATCCCCTTCCGCGAAGAATCGTTTGTCCTGGTGTGTGTCCATGTGTGGCTGTGGGGTTTTCTTCTTTACTGTGTCATGTATTTTCTCCTTGTATTTCTTGTGGGTTATTTTCTGTCAACGTTCTGTTGTCTTTCCCGGTCTGTGTGTGTTAAAGTATATGGTGTACTTTTCTTGTGCTCGGTAATGGCTTGTCTTAGTACATGTTCTATGTCTTCTTTTCTGTATTTGTTGCTTTATTCCCATTTGTCTTTCAGTTCTGTATACTGTGCTAGGTTATGTGTTATATGTTTTTCTACTTCATGTCTGTTTCATGTTCTATGTTTGTATAATGTTTTCCTGTCCTTTTTTTGTACATTGTGTTTACATTTTTTTTTTTATTTATAAAATAAACATATACCTGTTTCCACAGTAGCACTTTTCCTATTAATCCAGAATAAAGTTTGTGGGAAAAGTAGAGCATTTATTTAATATTCAAGTTATATAAACTTTTCTGTTGACAGGCTGCTGAAGAATTTGCTGAAAAATTTGTGGTTGGAGAGATGACTAACGGCGGCCCTTACCCCAACTGCCCGCTGAAACCCGCTCACCCTTATATAATGGCTGTTGTGGCTAGGGTGCAGCTCGAAGGTAATTATATTGCTGAAATTACTAATGCTGATAATTTATGATGATAAATATTATAATTAAAGCATAGAGTTGAACTTTTATCTTAACTGTGGAAAATTTCACTCACCATATCCATATTATTATCTAAGGAATGAAATATTTCCATACATATCTATAATGTGCATAAGAATTATATCTCTACTGATGATTTTAGACCCATCAGTATCTACATTAGCAGCCTACATGACCATTTGGTCAAGCACACCATTGGTCTCAATGCATATATAACATTGTACAAGTGATCACAAGAATTTACAAGCTTCCAGGAGGAACTGATAATCAAAAAATATTGTTGGAACAAAGTTATAATCTCCATTGACGTATTTTCAAAATGCTTAATAAAGGACAAATTGTACTATCAAGTACTGTCATTAATTTTTATATCCACTAGGTGTTTATCTTGTGATATAACTTTATCACAATAATCAGTCTAAATAATAAAATTAATAATTTTATAATCATTTTCGGCACCTTCACTGTGGTGGAGAGGATGCCGCCAGTGGGGCAGAGGTGACCAGAACAGTACCTGTTCACCCTTTGTTGACAACGAAGCGGTTCGCAACGCGTGTGTTGTTGATAACATTTTCAACGAACATTACCGCACAAACTTCTTATCTAATTACCAGTAATCACTCCCTAGATATTCGGGAAGTCTCTGATCTATAATCTAAGTTAGAATTCGTCCGTAAGAACGCATATTAAGAATAGTGAGAGTGAACTCATGTACCCAGAGACTTTCCATGCTTCCACCATAATCCTTAGCACAGCTACAAGTATCTATCCTACAGCAAACGCTACTAGGAACTCAATCAACATCATGCTGCCTTATCTTCATAAAAAAATACAGAGCCTATCTTCTGAGAGATCATACAGTCTGACAACCTGCCAGATTAGGCTCCGGTTATGCATGTGTATGAATCAACATTTGGCAAATGAAATTCGAAGTGAATAAATGCTAAGGTATGGAATATGGAATAAGAGAAAATAGCCCACACACAACCTACAAATTATGTACAAAGGCATTAAAGAACTCTGACAAAGAGAGATCTCTGGATGGTTCTGAATAATACTGTCGCCAAAGGATTCGCATAAAGAACATTGTGCGAGGAGCAAATGCTACGTTTTCCAACTTCAGAATTGCATTTAAATACATGGATGGTGAAATATTAAAGAAACTGTTCACGACTTTTTTTGAGACCAAAAATGTTACTATGTAGCAATTGTATGGTGCCTATATCTCATTAAGAACATCAATAAACTAGAAAAGGTGCAAGGGCATGCTACAAAATGACTTCCAGAACTGAAGAAAACAAGATCTATGAGGAGAGGCCAGAGGTGTAAAATATGCCAAAGCTAGAAGCTAAAAAAAAAAAAAAGAGGCAATATGATTACTACATACAGAATTTGATAAAGCTGAATTCTGCAACTTCAAGAACAAAAGGTCACAGACTCAAGCTAAGGGAACAAAGTTGCCGAAATAAGTATTCGAAAGTTCACTTCTGATAGACGTTTGGAACAAGTTAAGTGAGAATATGGTGGAGGACGAGTTTCAAAGACAAAGAGTACTGGGAAGACGGGACACCACGAGCGTAGCTCTCATCCTGTAACTACACTTAGGTCATTACAGAGGATTATTTGGCACACCTAAGGGTGGAGAATAAAGGCTACCACCGTTCACGAACATGACATCATCTATCGAAGAAGCCAACAATCAGTTCTAAAATTTGTAATAAATTTGCAGGTAGAAGTGCGTATGCAGAGATGAAATTGGATGAGAAAGTAGTGCCTGAGTGGGATGGTTATGTTCTTCCTATAGTTTCCTCCGTCTTGGGTCTTCTCCTCCTTATCCTCATCATCACAATCATCATAATTTTGTAAGTTGACCCTTTATTCTCCAGCAAATTTGTTATAATATATAGAATCTTATACTTGCAAGAAATGCATATAATATCTAAGGTTTACAGTTGATCAGACAACCAGTCCATCAGACAGCCAGTCTACCCATCTGACAATAAATGAAGTGACGACATGTCGGTCCGTCCTGGACCATTCTCAAGTCCCGTAAACACACAATGGCACGGAAAGTCAGTATAATGTGTTAAGTAAGATTGTGATATAAATGGTGAGAAGCTTGAAGTATATCATATACTTACATATGTATTACGTAGGGTGTTTTGGGGAAATGCATGTTTTTAAAGCGCCTTCTTACGTGCAGCATTTTCGACAAGTGTTAACGCTAAAAAAAAAATGCACAATATTTGTATGTAGTTTAAGTTTCCATCAGTTATAACTGAAGGTGAAAAAGGTCACAGAGGCACGTAATGGGCTCAGGAACTGATCCCCAAAATTAATTTAGCTTAGCAAGTTACAGCGTTGATGAGATGGATTACAGAGTTTGTAAACATATGAGATGATATTGAGACCATGCAATAGGATCGAACTCGCATCCCTGGACTTTCCAGACACAATCATTGCCGACTGAACTGTGATGAGCTCAAAAGTATTTATCTAGAAGTTCTACCATATACATCAACAGTCTCTTCCCAATTAGCATATTGTCGCCGTGAGAGTTCGTTAGGTAGGTTAGTTCATTGTGGACCCCATACCCATCCTCTGGGTAAGTGGCAGAAAGGCTTCAGTGCCACATAATGGGTTTAATTATGGGGCCCCATGATCTCTGCACCAAATTTAGTATTTAGTGTTTTGGTTAATTTGGCTTGATGCCAGAGTTTACTCAGTTAAATACAACACTTTAGAAATAACAGCAGCAGAGCAATATAATGGGACAGTATTCTCAAAGGTAGTTGACGTAAAGACACCTTTGCAACAATAACAATTTATTCAACAAACTTACATACGAATACACGGCAATAACAACTTTACGGTACGTTAAATCTAGAGTGTCACTACATAGCTAATCAATACCATGGCAGCAGGATCTTGTCCCATCACTCTGCTGGTAATTAACGAGACCTGGTCTCGAACCACTCTTGCATGGGCAAGAAGAAAAATATGAACTAACTGAACACTGGTGAACACTCGGACCAAAACTGCACTGAACTTCTGCAGTGGCAATTAACAATGATGCAATACAAAACAATACAATGACAACAAAACAATGCAAGACATGTCACTAAGACAATCTTCAATTAATTACTTATTTAACACTCATCCCTTAGACAGCAATCAAATCAAATATACAATAATGTTAATCCTCTGTTACACAGGAACAAATAATCGGTAATTATTACGTTAATATTACGTCAACACATTATCACCAAAGACAACATCAATCAACTCAAATATACAATTGATTAATTGCGTTAATTAATTACGTTAATCCTCCAGTCACACTAACAGTAACAACTCAGTGAGTAATTACTTTAACACTCTGTGACTAAGACAGTTAACCAATCAAACAGTAACTCTTTAAATCAAACTTTTGTCACAAAGACAGTTAAATCAAGATAGCAGTCCACGTGGCATAGTGGTAAAACGCTCGCCTGACGTAGCACGAGCGCGTTCTCCCAGGGTTCGTATCCTGGCCGGGGAGGATTTACTGAGCGCAAATCCTTAACTGTAGCCTCTATTTACCTAACAATAAAATGAGTATCTGGTTGTTAAACGATTTGGCAGGGTCGTATTCCGGGGAATATTAGGTTTAAGAACTTGCCCGAAACGCTATGTGTGCTAGTGGCTGTACAAGAATGTAGAAACTTGTATATTTAAATAAATAAAAAATACTAAATGAATAATTAAACTCAACACAGTTCTCCAACACTCAAGTACAACGCACGATATCACACAAATTACAATAATAAAATAATTTCAATATGAAAATTTTATATATATATATATATATATATATATATATATATATATATATATATATATATATATATATATATATATATATATATATATATATATATATATATATATATATATATATATATATATATATATATAATATATATATATATATATGTCGTACCTAGTAGCCAGAACGCACTTCTCAGCCTACTATTCAAGGCCCGATTTGCCTAATAAGCCAAGTTTTCACGAATTAATGTTTTTTCGTCTACCTAACCTACCTAACCTAACCTAACCTAGCTTTTTTTGGCTACCTAACCTAACCTTACCTATAAATATAGGTTAGGTTAGGTTAGGTAGGGTTGGTTAGGTTCGGTCATATATCTACGTTAATTTTAACTCCAATAAAAAAAATTGACCTCATACATAGAGAAAAGGGTTGCTTTATCATTTCATAAGAAAAAAATTATAGTAAATATATTAATTCAGGAAAACTTGGCTTATTAGGCAAATCGGGCCTTGAATAGTAGGCTGAGAAGTGAGTTCTGGCTACTAGGTACGACATATATATATATATATATATATATATATATATATATATATATAATATATATATATATATATTAATATATATATATATATATATATATATATATATATATATATATATATATATATATATATATATATATATATATATATATATATATATATATATATATATATATATATATATATATATATATATATATATATTGGTGTATACTGGCAGCAGGTTTTCTTTCAAACATGTCTCATTGAATATGACCGCATATTCTGTATTTACTATTTTCTGATTTAGGGCTTCTATCACTCTACCTATTTTCTTAGCATCAGGGCTTAGCTGAAATAGGAGTTCTCCAAAACTCATTTTCGTAATTTTAAGGTAAAGAAAAGAAGTGAATTCCTATAGAATGTATTACACTTATTTATACAATTTGCACAACTTTCGAACCTCCATGGTTCATTCTCAAGTGAAAGAAATTTTCAGGTTTGGTTGATTTTATACCCGCACTGGGTCAGGTCTTATCACCTGACCTAGTGCGGGTCAGGTGATATCACCTTTCACCAAAAAAGAGGGGCCTGATGACCTCAGGTATATCACCAGCCAAGCACGCATTGCCGAACCTTGTGAATTCCACAAGAAGAAACGTTGAACTTTTAGATGCTTCGATGAAATTCTCCAGCAATCTCTGCACGTGGTAATCATGCGAGAAATGGCAGTTGATACAGGGTAGTTGGTGCAACACTAGAGCACTAGACAGCACGCGGTTAACATGCGAGTACTAATCACACACAGGGTGGCTGATGCGGTCTCGAGCCAGGACCACACGTGGTTAACTTGCGAGTACTATTCTGTACTCACACCATTTACAGCTGGCATCATTTACCAATATTCAGAGAGATGCAAATAGTTGACTCCTAAACCATATTTTATTCCTATATGCAATGTTGATGGAATTGCTGTACTCGGGATTTACGTGATTTATGATATATTTTAAAAATTAACAATACACTTTCTGTTTCACATCAGGTTCTGTGCTGTATATTCTGTATCTGTATACTGAATTTTGTAATGTTAGAATATGTACTGTTTGTTAATCCTTCATTACCAGTATCTGTATGGCATTTTAACCAAAAATATAAATTTTAATGGCTAAAATTCAGCAGTGTACAATTATAATATTTGTTTTATAAATATAGCTTCTCATTACTTCCACAGCAGACGCCACAAAACGCTGCATAGGAAAGTTGGAGCCAAGTATTGGAAAGGTAAGATAAGGTATTAACTTATAGAAAATAAATCTCAATATTTGCAAGGAAAAAAATATGACAGTGAGATGTTAGTTATTCTCTTGTTGATGAAGCCCCTTTTTTTTTATTAATACATGAGGTACATCTGCATTAGTGCAGCTACCCTAGACTATATGAAGTGGAGTACAGTGTGTCAAAAAAGCTAACTAGGTGATGCTAAAAAATCCCCATCACACAGGATGGTTAGTCATACAGAGGCATGTGATAGCCAGTCTGCACTGACAGACTTCGGATGCATTTTGAGGATATCATCAACACAAGAGTGAATACGGTAGCAGTGGTAATAAAAGTCCCCATCTCGCAGGATGGTTAGTCATACAGGGCCTGGTGCAGTGAGGCGTGTCGAGCAAGTCTCAGTCTTGCACACTTAACATTGTGGTATTTTTAAGTATCTGACTCCCTAAAATAAGGAACTGACTACCAATATAACAACTACTTAGCAATCTACAGTAACAATAATCATACCCAGTGGCCACTAGGAAACTGTTGTTGTATTCATGGGATAGTGGACTGTATCTATTGTGTGTTCCCTAGGTGGCTCAGTTTTCAGGATGACCCAACAGGAATGGTGCTGCTTTCATGAAGCTGTCGGATGAAAAATCGCCACTTTACCTCTTGGTAAAAAATATTATGTATAATGCAACTAACACTGATACGGTTACAAATTATTTTAGTCAATCCTTTTGATCTGGCATCTTGCCACATATGTATTATAAACAATGGCAAGATTATTTAATTCTTTAATGCTATCAGTTTATCTATTGCAAATGTATACTTTAATTTATCTTTAAGCAATTGCAATATATCAAATATTTGTTAAATATTGATTAACCTAGTTAGTATAATTTTATTTTAGTGGCAAGTAATTTACTTATTATGGTGAGCTTGTAACCTCATGGTGTAACTGCACAGGCAGTTAATGGTTTTAGTGGCAAAAATAATTGGATCCCTTCTCTCTATATACAACACCAACCTCCCTTATTTTATTAAGATGCAGTTATGGAGCTCTATCTTATTGTATTGAGATTTAACTCTCTTGTTGGGCCAGAGCATGTAGTGTTGTTCACTACTGATGTTGAAGTGGTGGTGTCTATACTTTGTCAGCTTCTGGCTTCCATCGTTAGATGTTATCTTGAGATGATTTCGGGGCTTAGCGTCCCCGCGGCCTGGTCCTCGACCAGGCCTCCGTTTTGTTACACACACCCCCGGGAAGCAGCTGTCTTAACTCCCAGGTACCTATTTACTGCTAGGAAACAGGGGCATCAGGTTGAAAGAAACATTTGCCCATTTGTCTCTGCCTCCATAGGGGATCGAACCCAGAACCTCAGGACTACAAATCCGAAGCGCTGTCCACTCAGCTGTCAGACGTAATGTTCCTCACACTTTACTCACAACTTATGGCAAGACACTTCTATCACTTTAAAAATAGTGTCTTAATGTTTATACACATTTTATGTGGTCTGACAGCTGAGTGGACAGAGCTACGGATTCGTAGTCCTGAGGTTCCGGGTTCGATCCCCAATGGAGGCGGAAACAAATGGGCAGAGTTTCTTTCACCTTGATTCTCCTGTTCACCTAGCAGTAAATAGATACCTTGAAGTTAGACAGCTGCTATGGGCTGCTTCCTGGGGGGGTGTAACAAAAAGGAGGCCTGGTCAAGGACCGGGCCGCGGGGACGCTAAGCCCCGAAATGATCTCGATAACCTCAAGATAGATGTGCAGTTGACACCACCATTCAGGTCCACCGATGTTAAATAGCTGCAAATAAACAGCTTAAACATCGTGGAGTATCTTTTTGAGGCATCGGAGTCATGTTTACTGTGTGTGAGGGAGTGTGGCGTCGGTGTGTCCACACACTTCCCTCACTCTTTCTTTATGGCAAGACACACTAAAAACACTGTAAATAGTGTTTTAATGTTTATACACATTTATGTGTAGTTTACAACACCATTCAGGTCCAGAGATGTAAAATGGCTGCAAATTAAGCAGCCATTCGTAGAAGTGTCCTTGTGTGGTGGCGGAGTATTGTTTACTGTCTGACAGCATCTGGCCACTTGTCGAATGCACCCCCAAGGTGGAGTATCATTGCCCTGCCTGTTTTAAATATCCATTTATACTATCGTTAACCAAATGTATTTGGCTAAACAATTATTTATTGAGTACATGCATATATTTTGGAGTATTGCCATGATGCTTATAGCTTAGTAGATGAAATTACATATTCTGATATATCCTTTTGGCGAGACCTCCTTGGGATGGAGTTTACAAAATGGTCGAAATATGCTGACTTAACACACTCTGTCTTGAGAGAGCTTGCCTAGATCTATAAATAGCTATGCCTGGTCCATGTGCTTTCATAGACCATTTTTTAAATTTTGCCCCGAGGGGCGAGTTTATTGGGCAATATAGACAGCCCGTACAGGACTCGAACCCGTGACCTCCAGTTTGTTCGTTTCGCGGAGCGATATCATAGAACATGTTATGCTGTAATTTTGGTAGAAATTTTCTACAAACATAAAGTTGGGGGTTTGTTTGATGTAGGTGTTGAGGATAGCTTACTGACCAACCAGCAAGTATACTTGAGTCCAAAACATTGAGAAAATCAATAGGAGGCATGAGGAGGATTCGAACCTATGCACTGGGCACTCCCAGGCACGCTCAAGACCACTACTCGTAACGTGGTATTTGCATTGCAACCTGGGATTCAACTGAGCCTTCTCTGGTTTCAGTTCCCCATGAAATCACAGCTTGTAGCGCTCTGGTTCTACAAGCCAGAGCGCTACAAGCTGTGATTTATTAATGTGATTTCTTTGTGTTATTGAAGAGAAGTGTAGGAGGTACACAAGCCAGAGTGCATGAGGATATTGCGTGAAACCCTGATTAGGCTTCAGTGGAAGCCTCAGGAATCCTAGACGGTTCAATTGAATCCCTGGTTGTAATGCTGTTACCATGTCGTGGTGTAGTGGTCTAGAGCGTTCCTGGGAGTACCCAGCACATAGGTTTGACTCCTCCTCAACTCTCCTACTGATTTTCTCATGGATACATCATGTTAATATAATGTATTTGTATAACCAAAAACATTGTTGTGGACTAAAGTAAACTATCAGTGCATGTACAGTATCCCTCAGCAAGGTCTCCAGTTCCCGGCATGTGGAGGTACTAAGACTCTCCAAGTCGAGGAATGAGTATACAGTCACTTGGGGTGAGGTCTGCTTGTAACAGTGTTGCCTACATCTATGACATTATACCTTTCTATGGTCAACGCTTCCTTTATATTAGAATTTTGTAATATCTGGGAACTTTCTTCTTCGTTCTTCCATGTTAAACATCCTTTGATATTGTCTTCCGGTTATTCGTCTCCTTACTCGGTCAGATTTTTTGCTGCTAAATTTAACTAATAAGTCTATCGCCTCTCTTAATTTCCCTAACTTCTATTGCTTACTTAGCTTGCTCTTCAATCAGAATATCTTTGTTCGTCTATTCTTAATGCTCAATCTTCACCATAGAAAATAAATGTTCACCATTGGAAATAACCTCAATCTTTGAGTATTTCCTCATGGAAAAATAATTGTCAACTTTTCTATTCATAATGATCTGAAGCGACATATTCATCACCCTGTACGTATTCCAGATCATCATCCTGCACGTTTTCCAGATCATCATAAAAATTTTCCGTAAACTTCTTCAGTAGTTTCTGATAATAACCTCAGCTCATCTTTTTTATTGACAATTTTCCCTTCAATTTCCACTCCTTCATATGCTGTTATAGGAATGTTTGTCTTGTTTATTCCCAGGAGTGAATGTTGGTACACTGTGTGCAATACCTCTATATATAAGTGTGCTAAACAAATAACTGTTAATGTTAGTGTGAAGAATGGAAGCTTTTACCCCATTTTGTTTTGTCTCTCTCCCTCTCCCATCTGTATATCTTGGTTGTATTACCTTCCCGCTGCAGCACGACGCGACCTTCACACCTGCAAGTATCGACATTTTATTTCCACAAACAACTATGGTAACTCTTTCCTTTCTACTGTTAAGCATAATTTCCTTAGACAAAAGGGTGGTTAAAAGACATCTTCAGTCTCTGAATGTTCATTAAAGTGCCTCATAACTTGTATTAGTCTTCCTTTTCTTTATTTTTTATTCTGATTGAGGATTTTATAATCTATATCTTATAAGCACAGTGGACATTGTCCAGTATCCTTATAGTAATAAGGACACTGCTATAAGCTGTCCTTAACCTTTGTCCCTTAGGTCCAACACCAATCTATGTTCACCATGTCGTTTACTGGTGTTAGTAATGATTTACTTCTTTTTTACATGTATGCATAATTGTGGGAACGTTATGTCACTCTTACATATGTGAGGGAAATATCTTCCCCTCTCACGTACAGCATCATTATAGTGTTGGAACGCCATCTTCAAGTAATACTTTAATTGAGTATAAATTCTTATTTGCTTCTTCATGGTTTAGGAGTTAAGGATATAATTTTTATATCATTGTAGTTAATTATATAAATTATAGCAACCATATATGTGGCCTGTTTGTTCTATTCCGTCTGGGAGTCAGCCAGCATCACTTTGTTTGTGTGAGAACTCTAGGGAAAGGCACTCAACTCTATATATTATATGCTATTTTTGCTCTCAATTTTATTTCAGTTGACATGTATTTCAGATAGACACAGGACAGAGGTCTATGATAATGGAAGAGCTGTGCAAGACCTGTCTAACCACAACACTCTACCCCTTCTTGACATCCCAATCACATCTCAGGTATGTTGTGTGTGTGTCCGTGGTGAGTATTGTGGCATGTTTATGTAGTCACCCAAATATGTCTCTTACTGCCACTGTCAACCATTAAAATTGAAAATGTGTTAATGAATACGTTTATTCCCTACAGAGTCAACCAAACTTGCCATCACAGCCGAGGAACGTGCCTGCTCCTCCAGATCCAGCGCCTCCTCCTCCTCCTCCTCCTCTGATTCCGGTCAGTTCTCTCTCTCTCCGTCTTATGTCTGTCATAGCCTCACTTAGCCAGTAACCGGGTTCTTTACTTACCAAACTGTATATGGGGCCTTAGTGCCTCTTTTTAATCGATCCCGCCCCGAGTCATAGGTAAGTTATTAAGAACTGCAGGAATAATTAATCTAAAGGAAAATGGAATAAACAACACTAAACAGAACCATCAATTGTACTCTTAACTATATATATATATAAATATATATATATATAATATATATATATATATATATATATATATATATATATATATATATATATATATATATATATATATATATAATGTCGTACCTAGTAGCCAGAACGCACTTCTCAGCCTACTATGCAAGGCCCGATTTGCCTAATAAGCCAAGTTTTCATGAATTAATATATTTTCTCTAATTGTTTTCTTATGAAATGATAAAGCTAACCCATTTCATTATGTATGAGGTCAATTTTTTTATTGGAGTTAAACTTAACGTAGATCTATGACCGAACCTAACCAACCCTACCTAACCCAACCTAACCTATCTTTATAGGTTAGGTTAGGTAGCCAAAAAAGTTAGGTTAGGTTAGGTAGGTTAGGAAGTCGAAAAAACATTAATTCATGAAAACTTGGCTTATTAGGCAAATCGGGCCTTGCATAGTAGGATGAGAAGTGCGTTCTGGCTACTAGGTACGACATTATATATATATTATATATATAATGTCGTAAATTATATATATATATATATATATATATATATATATATATATATATATATATATATATATATGCGGAAAATCCACAGAGAAATATGAAATGAGGTGAACGTTTCGGCTTTGTTAAAGCCTTTGTCAACACCAGACTGACTAAGGAGAAGGGAGAAGGGGAGGATATATAGGCCGACACCTGACCAACCCATCCCTAGGGTTGGTCAGGTGTAATTAACCAAAAAAGGTATAGCTTAGCTTAGAATGGTCAAAGAGGATTAAGCGGTCAGAGAATAAGGATGAAAGATTAAAGAAAAGCCTCATGAACACACAATATATGAATATACAATTATATGAGACATTGTAAGCCTCTCTATCAGAGTTGTTTCTTAAACTGTTGTGCAATATTATAATTTAAAAATGGATCAAGTTTGTACATTCCAGTACTAACATTAAGAAGATTTGGACACTGACTGATTAGAGCAGACTCAATCAAATTCCGTTCCACGAAATCCCCACAATTGGTAATGCTTTTTGCCCCATTCCAGTTAATATTGTGATCGCATAAACTCGTATGTAGATACAATGCATTAGACGTTTGGGCAGTTCTAATACTATAAGCATGTTGTGACAACCGCAATTGTAAGGACTTTCCTGTTTGTCCAAGGTACACAGAATCACAATCATTGCAGGGAATTCTGTGTACCTTGGACAAACAGGAAAGTCCTTACAATTGCGGTTGTCACAACATGCTTATAGTATTAGAACTGCCCAAACGTCTAATGCATTGTATCTACATACGAGTTTTATGCGATCACAATATTAACTGGAATGGGGCAAAAAGCATTACCAATTGTGGGGATTTCGTGGAACGGAATTTGATTGAGTCTGCTCTAATCAGTCAGTGTCCAAATCTTCTTAATGTTAGTACTGGAATGTACAAACTTGATCCATTTTTAAATTATAATATTGCACAACAGTTTAAGAAACAACTCTGATAGAGAGGCTT